AGATGCACCTCTAGCGCCTGTCTGAGTGACTGTCACTAGAGGTGTTACTAGACAGTAATGTAAATTAAAATGCTTGCAGGAACAGGCAGTAGACACCAGAACAACTACATTAAGCTGTAGTTGTTCTGGTGACAATACTGTCCCTTTAAAACCCCTTAAGGACACAGCTTCTGAAATAAAAGGGAATCATGACGGAATATTTCTGTAATCTGTCCTTAAGGGGTTAATGTTGTGGCTGTTCAGATATTTTTTAATTGCTCTAATTCCTGTATTTATTTCCTTTTATAATAAGGACACCCCATTTAAAAAAAAAAAAAAAAAATCTCTAAACAGCCTACAATAACATTTGTTTACATGTAAGAAATTGTTTACATACCTGTGTTATCTTGTTACAGGTGGTACACACCTTGCATAGTGCCATTTCTTGATGTAATTTCCTGTTCAACCTACAGTCAAGTCTAAACACTATTTGGTGTTAGTCATTGCTTCTTCTTTACAGCTTGCCAAATGTTAATTAATTTACTCTGCAAGTTATCAATAGCAGGTCTGTTTTTACAATCCTGTTCCAAACAGCCCTATGCATCATCATAACTCAGCACAGTTTGTCTTTTTGATCATTTTACTACATCACATACTTTATGCATGTGTTAGTTTCCTGTTCTCTATTATTTGGAGATAATCCACAAGCAGATTACAATAAAAGTTTTCTAATATAACTTTGTAAGCATAATGGAGTTTATCCTAATACAGAAGGTCAAAACTAACCTTCCCAGAGATTTGCACGGCATTGCACAAACCTAAGGCTCAGTTTAGATATGCATGACAAAGATATAAAACAAATAAACAAGCTATTTGTATGTTCAATAACTCTCTCTCCCCCCTCCCCCTCCCCCACCCCCACACAGAACTACAGAGAAGGTATGTGGTTTATGTGCAAACTTGCTAGAATATTGCTTAAATTAGCAGAAACAGCTAAATAATTAACAAGATTATTGCATATATATTTACAGAGTATGTATTTTTACAAATCTTCAAAATTCTATGAAAATTGTACATAAGAATTATATGGAAACGTTCACTACATTATCCTTTTAATGCCCTGGGAAATAAAAAAGGGGTAAATCTGAAAAGGGAATTCTTTGTAAATCAATATTTTTAAGGGTTCTCCCCAAATTATACAGAAATTATGAGAACACTATCCCTAACAATGCAGTTCTTGGTTGATAACTGGTCTGTTTTATGAGCGAGACTGCACAGGGTACACAATTTGAAGGGGGTTTTCCACAATACCTACAACCCATCTACTGCCTCTTGTTGAAGTCTTAGCCTGTCCAACAGTGGGTGATATGATAGGCTGAGAGCTCTGAGGATGGTTAGTGGTGCTGGAGAACTGGGTTGGATGTTAGCTTGTACAAGATCCAAGTGGTTAATATATTGGAGTAGTTTACTAACTTTTCACTTTTGGGGGATATAACAGGAATGGGGTATCTTATCCAAGACTGAACCTTCAACTGCGTCCATCCCTTTTCCGTGACACAAAGTATCTCCAGGAGCTACTGCAGCAACCTAGTATTTTATGGCTACCAGCAGGAGTATTTTCAGTGATACCACCCAACCATCAACTGGACAAAATGATAAGTAGCTCTTCCCACCTTGTACCCAAACACTATACAAGACTGAGTGCAGGGACAAAACAATTCTGGTTTATTGAACAGGCAGTATTTATACAATACAAGCTGTTACAAAAAGTCAGTATGTCTAGGTTAAGCATATGGCAAAAGGGAAAGGAAACACATCCCAATGACCAGTTGGTGGTTTTATGGTGTTCTTGGTGACTTACCGGTTAGATACACAAACCCAGATGCTTGTACTGAGATGTTCTGAATAGTTTAACCTTTTCACGACTGGAGGGTGATATTTGTCACAAGGGGCCAAAGTTTCTGGGCAAGAGGCCAGCTACTAAGTCTCTCTGCAAGGTTCTGCTACAGAGGAGTCTGCGGATACAGTGCCTTGCAAAAGTATTCACGCCCTTGGCATTTTCGTGTTTTGTTGCCTCACAACCTGGAATTAACATGGATTGTTTGAGGATTTGCATCATTTAATTTACAGAACATGCCCACAACTTTGAAGATTATTATTATTATTTTTTTATTATGAAGCAAACAAATAGGACAAAATAACAAAAAAAGTCAATGCGCATAACTGTTCACCCCCCTAAAGTCAATACTTTGTAGAGCCACCTTTTGCGGCAATCACAGCTCTAAGTCGCTTTGGATAAGTCTCTGAGCTTGCCACATCTTACCACTGGGATTTTTGCCCATTCCTCCTTGCAAAACTGCTCCAGCTCCTTCAAGTTGGATGGTTTGCGCTTATGAACAGCAATCTTTAAGTCTGACCACAGATTTTCTATTGGATTGAGGTCTGGGCTTTGACCAGTGATGTATTTAGTATCTGTGCTGCCCTAGGCATAACGGAACTCAGGCACCCCCTAATTTACATTCCCCCTCACACCTTCCTATCAATGCCACACCTCTTCCTGTTAAACGACTAACACACACTTTGACTGACAGACAGACTCTCAGATCCTGACATACACACACTGATTTGCCACAAACAATCACTGACATACACAATGACGCAGACACACACTGACAGGCATACACAATCACACAAATTCACTCAGACACAGGCGACCTCACAGATGCAATCACTCAGAAACAAACACATATTCACTGACAGACACACACACACACTCACTGACAGACAGCCACATAGTGACAGACACACTGACAGACACACACACAATCATTTGCATACACACTGACAGACACACACACACAAGCACTCAGATACACACTGACAGACATACATACACAATCACTCACATACACACTGACAGACATACACAATCACTCAGACATACACACATTGACAGGCCCCGCCCCCTCTCCCCCAAACATTAACCAATTACTTTTTCTTTTTTTTAGTTTAAATCCACCCAGCCTCCCTACCTTTGGGAGTGCTGGGTGGATTTTTTTTTTTTTTACCTGGGGTCCCTTCTGACAGGAAGAGAGGCAGGCGAGCGGCTAACTAAGAATCCATGCGGGCGAGTGGCGCTGGCGAGGGAGCACTGATTAGTGAGCTGGAATATGACATCATATGCGGCGCGTGAGGGAGCTGAGTAGAGAGTGTCTGAATATAAAACACTGTTTTTATTGGCTTGTTAATCTTTTGTCCCTGTGCCCAACAAGGTCCACCTGGGCGTTACCTTTGTTGTAAAACCTGCATAAAAGGCATCCAATTAGAACAATTGATTTTAACCAATCAGCTACCTCTCTCTCTCCTATTTAAACCCGGCATTTCCCTCTGACGAGCTAAGTGGGCGAAACGCACGCGTCAGGGGCTTTAGGGCTTTATACATGCCGTTTTTCATTATCATAATAGGCGATTTTCCTTCTGATGGTCTTTTGTTACTTTCATTTCAGCGGGGTGAGACATAGGTGCCCTCGAAGGCACGGGGGTGGAGAGTTAGCTTCTCCTGTCCCTCTCTATATATAATAGACAGCCTAGTAAGACCTTATACTTACAATATCTAGTGTAGATTTTCAGCGTGCTGCTAGCATTGTTATCTATAGAACTTCTCCCTATACTACTTAATATTTATCTTTGATTTTCTATCTGGATTACCATTCTGCTATTTTTGTGCAGTTCCAACCTAATTAGGCATTTTAGCCGATTACCCAATACTTTATACAATTAGGCATCATAGCCGATTATCCAATATTCATTGGATTTATTTTCTTTTTCCAGTCAGTTTAAGTTCACTGCAACTTGGTTTCTATGTTGGAATTCTTTGACCCAACGATATATTTTTAGGGTCATATGCTTAGTATTTAGAGATTTACACTCTTAACACGCTGTTTAGAACTTTGAGCCACTGATATTTTTCGTACACACATATATAACATTATTACCATACTTCGTTATTCTGACCAACATCAATAATAGGCTATACAGGCTGTACAACAAACTCTGTAGTACATAACACATCGTTTTACCTTTTAATTCATTATCAGTAGCACCTATACGTCTTCCCCTAACTGCGCAGATGTGCGCTATAGCTGAGTTTATACACACTGTTTTAGACATCAGAATTGATCCTAATCTATATACTGGTATTTTGTTTTTAATAATTTTTTTATTTTGCGGTGTTCATTTTGAATACCCATTCTTTTGATGTTATTGATATCTAATAAATTAGTTTTTTGTTTTTGGACCCTGTGGTCCTTTTAGATGTGCTTCATATCTTTAATTTCCTATGTAAGAAGTCCAGGTTCATATTTGTCCTCCCCCTATTTATAGGTACACTTTCTTGTTGTTTTGTATTCATTTCCACTAGGGGTTACCCCCCTGTACTTAGTGTACCTTGGCTGTATTAGAACAAGTTCTGCATAAAAGGCCAGGTCCATTCCTGTTTTACCCTCAACATAGAGCCTCGTCTCATGTGTGGGGGGAAAGGATGTATCACTACAAGGGATTGCTATAATCACTATACTCCCTTGTATTCCCTGAGCTCTTGTAAGAGCTGTTCCTGATTGACTCTCTGGAGGAAGAGAGGTTCACCCACTGGAACCTGGAGCCTTGTCGTGGGTCCAGGGTTGGTAGGAGACGGCAAGTTCCCAGCCAAGCTGTAACACTGGACAGTTGGACTGCGGTGCTGATTGTGTCTGGTGGAGTGCTTTGAGTCTTCGGTGAGCACTAGGAGCATCCGTCGGCAGAGGTACCCAACCTGGGTACAGGTAGCTCCGTTACAGCGCAGATGCAGTTTTTTTGCAAAATAAAAGAACCCTTTCAACTTTCTCTCATGCCTTCTAATCTCTTCCAAGAGAGTAAAATATTTAACAGTCTTGACTGTAAGTAGTTTTATTCATAAATAAATGAATGAAACAACTTGCATTAGAAATCTGTTAAATCAGTTATTTTTTTATTAACCTGAATGTCTGAAAGTAAAATTTTGTATCACAACACATCAAATGAAACTACTCTTTTACGTTAATAGAAACCTTTAGCTACCAAAATAAAAAAAAATAAAAAAATGTTTAGTTTTTAAATTTAAGAACAGTTCAAACAAGACACTGAAGAAAACAATATGTATATATTCAAACTCCGTAGATCGGCATGTAGGTTTATTAAGCATAGTTTTGGTTATGAAAATTCCAATTCTCACTTTATAACACAGTAAAACAATCATACAAGAGCAAACACGAAACAGGGTCATACTTTGGGAAATCAAAATAGGCTTCCTTTATATAAAGTGACAGAGAACAAGCTTTAAGAATGCAATGGAAAAATAGATTGCTTTTAAAGTAAATGGTATACAAACATTAAATCGCCTCATGCCTACTAATAAAAAACACGTTTCAGAATTGACCTGCAGCAGTGGAAATCCCACAAATTACGTAAAGTTTACAAAAGGAATCTAACATTTAATACACAACATAATACATGTTTCTAACACACACAGTTGTTAGTCTCCTAATCATTTTAAGGCATGGAACTACTCATAATCATAATTTCCCCTGAGAGAGAGAGAAACATTTCACCCAAATGTTTGCATTTGAATAGAGGGACATCTTTTTTTGTACATGATTTTTGGAATCAAAGATCAACGTTCGGTACACGAGTGCATACAAATAAACCCCCTAACCTTAAAGGGGCATTTTATATAATTGGGCACTATTTATTACACGGTATTACAAACACACGTTAGTGGTCTCATCCATCTATATAAACAGATAAAAAGTAATTGTGTCAATTTAGGAAATAGATTATTGTGATTTAGGGAGTCTTCTAAAAAGAAACACTACCATGTGTTAAAACATAGCAGAATATTTTCATACAGAGTTTTCACTTGTTGGATTACATCTTTAACATCTAAAGCATGATTAAGAGTCAGGGATCTACGATTATTAGGTTGTGATTGTTTTGGTTAACTTAAAGATAGGTACCATCTAGCATCTATTAATTGTCCCTTTAAAAGATGTGCAGCATATTCAATATGAAATAATATATTTATGACATTCCAAACGCTGTATAAATCTGCGAAGTCACAGTGTTCACTAAAATTCTAGTTCTTCTTAGTTACTATTAGCAACATTTCTAAGAGAGAAAGAGGCTGTGGAATGAGTGCCAAATCTACACCATAGCACCTGCCAAAGACAGATTTTCTTTTTCCTGGAACAACGAGCTGGAAAAGTTTAAGTAAATATCCTAAGAATTAAGCGGTATATGCCATTACAAATGGAATAATTGATAGGGGAACGTAGAATACCGATCACAAACAATAATTTTAAGAAAAAGTTGTTAACCTGTTAAAATTTAAAGGGACAGGGGGGAGGGGGGAGACTTTGCACATTAAATGCTCTTCACATGGAGTGTAGTTCAGTTTTGCAAAACAGTATTTTGACACTGTTATATAATACTTTTTTACCATCTGAACACAAGGAAGTCATTTGGCTTAAATGTTACAGATAAAGTGTTTGAAAACTACAACTTGATCTTATTTTGACTGTTCCTGCAAAGATATTAATTATTAGAACTGTGCAAAAGTTAGTTTCAGACGGTTCACCAAAATTAAATGGCTTTCAATCCACACCCAAACAAAAGGATCACCTAGGATTTACCTGTGCAGTCTTATTCGATGACTCAAACCTATAAACCTATTGAATAACTTTTGCACAAATCTGTTAAATAGAAGTTAATGAGAAAACCACCTTCAATTTTTTTTCGATATTGTAGCTTACATGCACTATTTCTATTGCCTAAGCAAGGTAGGATTCAGCAAGAAATACCGGTGCAGCGCTTATGTGTGAAATTGAATATGGAAAATTTTTGTAGGATTCACACTAGTTTTCTCAGTAGGGCGAAATATGAAAATACAAAGAATATGTAAACCCACATTCTTACTTTGTATGGAATGGAGAAAAATTAACCTTAAATGATACATCTATGGAATTAAAACCGTTATGATGTGGTAGAGAATAAGTGAAAATGTAATGTGAAAAGTATAGTATAGGCCACCATGCAAAGCCCAAGATTCGATGTTGCGTTAAACAAAAAGAAAGAAGAAACAAAAATAAAAAGACTTTTTAAAAATTCTCAACAGTAAGGGATTTCTCTGATTTCAAGGGGATCGGATATTCTCCTTATAGCATATAAAATAATGGCAAGTCGAAAGAAAGGCTACAAAAAAAAATATACTGCAATCAGAATGCAATAGTAATTTTCACTCTGGAAAAATACAAATGTATGGCACATGGAATATGGAGAAAAAAGTAAAAGAAGAAGAATGTCTCAGATATTTGCTCCCACATTATCAGTAGCTTAACCACCTATGTTCAAGTTTGCAAAGATTACCAAATGGTGATGAAAGCCAGTTCAAGCAGTCCAAAATTGCAAAGTCTCTAACTAAGTCTCAAACCGTAAGTAAATGCCCATTTTTTTAATACGAAACCATATTCTCAAAAAAAAAAAAATCTAAAATTTAACCCCTTAAGGACCAGAGTTCTGGAATAAAAGGAAATTATGACATGTCGTCACACGCCATGTGTCCTTAAGGGGTAAAGCCTCCCCTACACCATTTCCTGTATTTTGGCTAGGTGATGTTATGGACTGCATATAGTCTGCCATAATAAAACAACATAATTCAAAAAAACAAGGCGCGGAATGATTCATTCAATACATATCCTTGTGGGATTTAAAAATACTTCTGTATGAATAAGACAGGTTTTTGGAGGCTTCCTTTTAATGGGATGCATTTCCAGAAAAAACACAAACACATTCTGCAGAGCTGTATTGCATCCAGTGCAACCATGCAGGAAAAAAAAATTATAAGAAGACAGATTGGAGGAAAAGGAACTTTGTGGACAATACAGACAAAAAAAAAATGCTAAAAGAAAGCTTCCAGCAAACAATGAAATAAGTATGATCATTTAAAAAAAAAAAAAAAGTCATCTATATGACGTTCTGGCAGCTTTTCAAGAATTTGACCTTAATTTCAGCAAAAAGTATTTCATTGGCATACATCTCCTAATTCAGATTAGTCTGCAAATAAATACTAACATGTTAATTACCAACAAATATATCGTACAGGATTACCCTGCACAAAATATATTTTTCCTGATTTTTATTTAAAAACACAAAAAAAAACACAGTGTTAATGTTTACATTTTCAATCACTCAACCATTGTGAGTGAATTATATCTTAATTTTTAAAGCAATGCGTTGGAAAAGCTCAAACACCAGCACATAGGAAAAAGGTAATGCAAAAGCTAAAATGTATACAACATGACCTGTCGTGAAACAAACCTTTAGGCACTCTTTGTTATTATATTTCACTCCACGCTGATTTAAAAAAGGGGATTTTTAGCAATGCAGTTAAGAAAGGCTTGTTTAGCAGCTCACCTTTCAGTTTCTATGTAATTATCACAGTGAAATATTATTCCCATATTTCCTATAATTAAGCCAGTGTAGCAAAACTACCTCAAATTCCATTGCTATTCATTTATATTCCAAGTCAAAGGGAAAAGCAAAATTTAAATCAGAATATATTTGGATGGTATTCTAATACCATTACAGTTTACTGATGTGGAAAGATCTTAGACAGATTTTATGTTATTTTGCAAAAACAGTTTGAAGCAATAGCATACGGAAAGGTTTGCATTAATCTGGATCAGCGTAATGTCGCAACTAGGCTTCCTATGCAGCCCAATATATATCCAACTTTGAAAGGTCACTTTGTCAGCAGACAGCTCTATACCCAGTTCCTTTCAGCCTGCAGGCTAACTGAGCATTCTATGTTCTGCATTTGTGAAGTCTGTTAAAATGTTGAGGATGACAGTTCAGTTTAGAGATGCCCAGCAGGGCAGTCCTCCAACAAAATGTCTGTCTTGTAAAGTCCAGCACAAATCCATTCCTATGGTTAATCCAGATACCCTTGGGAGCCTACGATTCATTGGCTTCTTGATTCATTCGCCTGAGATTTCCTTTTACTTTTAGAAATTCTGGTTTATTTTCCTGCTCCTCATTTTTATTCTTCTCCATTTCCATCTGTAAAAGCAATATTGGACCAAAAAAAAAAAAAAATTGCATTAAAGCAGTTTTACTTCTAATTGATGCAGTATTTCTATTGCAATATACAATGAAAGAATATTTAATTGTTTGGGTGGAAAAGAAGCGTCCAAATATGAAACTTATCTAAATGTTCTAGTGTTGTGTAGGCATGGATTCTGACAACCTATTTAATATTTTTTTAAATTAACTGGCATTTTCCCTGTTTTTCATTAAGTACTTTGCATGTACAGGAAATAATACATTCATACAGTTCAGAACCCTCATCGAATGGTTAAGGAGAGGACTTTACTATTAGGGCAGCACTGGGACATACATGACATAGCTGGTGCACAGGACTATAGCTCCTACTAATCCCTGGCAGCACTGAGACATGTGTCATGCAGCCCTAACAGTAATGTGAAACCCCCTACATCACTGACCATCAATCCCTACACTACACTAACCTTAACCTAAAAATACTTGCACCTTAAGAACAAGACTACAAATACAAAAAGAAAAGTCCCACTCCCATCACTCCTGGGCGGCAGCAACGACTACAGTACACATCAGCGAATACATATAGTAAAAACCAAAGAACAGGACTGACTCACCTCTTCCAACATCTGATGTCGTTTCTGAAGTTCTTTTTCAAAGTCTGATTTTTTCAATTCTGCTTCTTCCTTTTGCTGTTTAATGATTTGATCTCGTTTCCTTTTCTCCATTACTTTCTGTAACTCTGGTTTATTTTGGGGTGACAGGCCTCTGAAATAGCAATAAATTTATATTAGAACCAAAGAAATGTAAAAAAAAAACCCCTCTTCCTGGAGTTTATGAGCATAGAAGCAACATGAAGGACTGACTGGTCTACCCTCACTGAGATCATAGAATGCATATGGCCATTCGGGGTGAACCAGATGTAAATTAAGGAATATCGGTCACAAGACAGGAGGAGCCTTGAGGGATAAGAAAGAGAAAAGGTCCATGCACTCTGTGCACTTCAGCGAGACTAAAATACCATAGGTTTTAATAATCTGCTGAAATGCCTTAAAGGGACTCTCCAGTGCCAGGAAAACAAACCATTTTCCCGGCATTGCAGGTCCCCTCTCCCTCCCACCACCCCATTCCCAGGTTGCTGAGGGGGTTAAAACCCCTATCAGTGACTTACCTGTATTCAGCGCGGATGTCCCTCGGCACTTGGTCAGGCTCTGCCAACTCTCCTCCCCGACCAATGGCAACAGCCGCGCACATGCGAATTACACCGCCCCATAGGAAAGCATTATTCAGTGCTTTCCTATGGGGATTCCGGCGATGCTGGAGGTCCTCATGCATTTTAACATGGGACTTAAAAATTGCCAATTTTCTCAGTATAGACAGGTGTGACAAACTCCCCTTTTCGCCATGAGTTTTTGGAGGGGCCTGTTTGCCAGCCTCCTACCCTGTGACTATGGGACCTGCTGTAGACCTGGCTAAACTACTTCAAACAGGCTCTGTTCAATTGGGACTATATGGTTAGTTTACCGAACAACCGCATGAACAGAGACCACCCGGGAGCTTGTTAACACCTATTAACAATTTGGAATGTTTCACACCGCAGTGTTCTAATTGTTCGTTTGGGTGGTCGCAATTCCTATGAACAACCACGAGGTGGCGGCCATCTTGTTCACATGAACGCTGGCAGTGGTGTTTGGGAATGAATCTCATGTAACTGAAATTGAATACAGAAACTCCCGAACACCGCTGGACTTCCATCATCGCAGGCATTCGATTCTATTCAACTTAGAAAGGCCCTGTTTGGTGAGATCATTCGTCTGGATAAATGGTACAAGCTAAAACTATTTACTCTGTTCGGTAGTTTAAAAATGAACAAAACTACCGAACAGAGTCAATTAGACCAACCGCAAGCCCTGATTCTCTGCAACTGTTTTGGGCATGGGACCATGCATGCAGTCAATCAAAAAGAGACTTCCAGGAATTTCCTGAACCCTTGCTCTGATCTGGGTGATTTTTGGATATGTTGTTCACCCAGATCAGGGCTATCGGGGGATGTTACATTTATGTGGATATGTTGCGTTTTGTAAAATATGTGGTATTTCTGAGTGGAGATAATTGGGTTAATACAGTATCTGACTATCTCACAGACAGAGGGGAGGGATTGCATGTTTGTTATGGGAGTGTCGTACATTTAATTACTGTTCTGGTTTGTAAGCTTTGTGTCCCTGTCCCCAACAAGGTCCTTGTGGGCGTACCCATTGCATGGGGATTTGCATAAAAGGCCAGTATGGCACCATTAAAGAGATATTTGTTTACCCCTTCATGAAGTCTTGGCTCATGTTTGGGGGCTTGGAGAACTACATTCACTCTGGGGATTGCTATAATCACTATACTCCCCTGAGTATAATCACTAGCTCTTATAAGAGCTGCTCCTGCTATTCTCGCTGGACTAGGAGTGGTCTACCCACTGGAAGCTGGATCCTGGTCTTGGGTCCAGGGTGGGCGAAGGACGGCGAGACCCCAACCAAACTGCACCGGTTCATGGGGTTTTAAGGTGGTTATGGTGTTCCAGTACAGTATTATGGTGCTCACAAGTACTAGGAAGCAGCGATTGATGGAGGTACCAGTTTGCGGTGCCAGGCGGTCTGGTTTAATAGAATGAATCTAACGCTCCAATAAACTAGTGTTGTTCATTACATGGTCATTATAGAAGGGCTCAAAATGTCATGTCCTACGCTTCTAAAAAGGTGTAAAAGTTGCTTAACACTGCAAGATTGCAGAATCAATGGCATCCTTATTAGAGGTAAATTTCTACTTGCCAAGCTAAATTTTCACTCGCCAATGGCTAGTGAGCAGGGGGAAGTTTGAGCCCTGATTATACCATGCAAAAATATATCAAATGTGTGTATTAAAAACTCTGAAACAATGAAACTTTGAGAGTATGTGATCAAGAGACAAACGGAGAAAAACTGGAATCTAAAGAGACATCACAGTAAGCTTATGATGCGTACAACTAAGGCTATATTAACCTTTGCAGAATACCAAATATATGGTAGATTATCACTGAACGCTTTTATTCTGATTTCTAAATAATAACAATTAAATGTATATTTAATTAGTAAAAATTACAATAGAATATATGCCCAGGGCAAACACACCAGCCCTGCCACCTGTAAGATCACCTACAGAACCCACTCTCAAGTCTGCCCACAAGGATGAGTTAAGTGGATGCAGTGTGTTTGTGTGTATGTATAATGGATGCAGAGATTGTGTATGCATAGTGGAAGCAGAGACAGCATGTATAGTGGATGCAGAGTATATGTGTGAATTCAGTGGATGCCAAATTAGTGTTTGGGGCGTGTGGGTAGCAGATGCACAGTGTGAGTGTGTGCTAAATGTGGCATGTATAACTTTTAAGAGGTTGTAAAACTATGTGAGAAGACTTTTTTTTTTTATATATTTCTATTTATTACTTGCGCATTGCCCCCATCGTGTTTCATCCCTGGGGTCAGGGAGGGGACATAAGAATCCAAGGTGGTGGTTTATTTTCACTATATCAAAGAAATTTGCAATGAGCGAATGCAATCATTGCTATGAATAAACTTACACAGATACAGGATTTTTTTATGACATAGGCGTCACTTACTGTGTTCGGAACACTAACAGTGAGTGGATGATACTTTAATTGGGAGTACAATTGTTCAGTTAGTATACACATACATACATATATGCACACACACCACGCATGTTTTTATTGACGTGGTAATGTCACTATAGGGTAAAAATTATGTGTTGGGGCATTAGTTATTAGAACCAATGCCCTGTACAGCTGTATTGACCGATTCTTCCTGTTTGGGGTATGATAAGTAAAACCAACAAAATACATTCTACAGATCTACGTCACAGATTCAGACTCCGCAAAAGCAGAATATATAAAGTTTGTAATGTGTTCAGATGAGCTTATCTAATTGTGCAGCCATTTTCTTAAACCTTCTTTTACCTTTTTTGGTTCATCATTAGTTCACGGTGAAGATCTTGGTGGTTTCGTGACGATTTCACTGGATTGATTAATTTATGAGGCTTTATCAGTTCGGAGTTATCAGCGTCAATGTAGTCCGGCTCGGCCATGATGCCCTTTACAAGATATGGATCACTATACTCCGAATCAACTGTCAAAAACCCTGGAACACAGAACATAAGACAGCACTGTTAACACTAGATCTCAAAGACAATAACACATTTGGTAATTTATCTTTTTATAAACTATATTTAATTCATGTAAAAATAATCAAGGTATAAACTGCACAATATATTTTATCAACTAAAATAATTTTTCTTTATTTTGCAAACGAACAAAAATCATTTACAACATTTCGGCCCAATGGCCTTAATCAATAGTACTATTGAGGACTGTGGATTCCTATGTATAGAGCTCCCTTTTATTTGCTTCTACATTATATTTCATTCATGATATATCTTTAATTGGATTATCTTTTGAATAGTACTCATATCACTGCTTATTACAAGGTAATGGAATCTTCTATCTACTAGTGTCATTTCAGAGAATTGTGAAATCAACGTTTCTTGCTTGATAAATCAGTCTGTTATTGTACTCATTGAAGAGATGGGCTAAAGAATGTTTAGGCCTAGAATGTTTACGACATTAAACGTATCCATAGTTAACAATTCACAAAAGTAGGACCCACATTTGAGAAGAACTGAAAACAGTGCACACACATATACACATACTAGTTTAAGTAATATTGTAAATCCTTTTGCTGGAATAAAATAATTTTGGAGTGCCAAGCTTATAGTCGAAAGCATTTAATGCTTTGTTGTTTTAATCCCTGTATCAGAATTCAGGTTTAACCCCTTAAGGACACAGCTTCAGAAGCTTGACTTACGCTTAATGACACAAGCAATTTTTGCATTTTCTTGCTGTTTGCGTTCAACTGCAATTTGCATCTCTCTCATTTATTGCACCGACACATATTATACTTACAATACCCAACCCACCACCAACACCATGCCCCTTCCTGTTATTTTCAATTTTAATAACAGAAGTGGCCATGTCAAAAAAATTATCAAAAAACATTGGCACCTCTTAAAAGAAGACGAAATACTTAAAAATATTATACCTGACAAGCCTAATGTTGTCTTTAGATGTGCCCCAAACTTCAAATCCATTTTAACAACCAATTTTACAAAAGAAACCAAACCTACTTTTAATTCTTTTATGCCCAATGCCAGTGGCTTTTATAAATGTAAAAGATGCATTGTATGCAAAAACACAGACCCCTCCGTCCCTTCCAAAACCACCAGTTTTAAATCTAATATCACCAACAAAACCTATAAAATTAAAGATTTTATCAGTTGCGATACCAAAAATGTCATCTACTTGTTGGAGTGCCCTTGTGGTCTCCAGTATGTAGGGATGACCACAAGAAGTCTTAAAGTGAGACTGAGTGAACACTGTAGAAATATCAAAAAAGGCTACCTGAATCACTCAGTCTCCAAACACTTTTGTACACATAACAACGACATAAGACACCTTAAATGCATCGGCATAAAAAAATGTATAATACCATGGAGAGGTGGTAACATTAAGAACATATTAGGTAAAGCTGAGATGGAATGGGTTTTTAATCTCAAAACTCTTACCCCATCTGGTTTAAATGTTGATTTTGACCTGTTTAATTTTATTTAAATTCCTATATACAACCCTTATCTACATGCTTTTATTCTTTATGTCTGGACCTAACCAACCCTCATAATAATAATAATCTTTTAAGTTTTATTTTTTCATCTATGCCTTTCCATTTATGTATCTTGTATTCTGTGTAATCTTTTATTTAATTTTATTTTTATTTTATCTATTATTTTCATTTAACATCTGTATTATTACTCTGGGGTATAATATAACCCCTATTTAAATCATTATGTTTGGAATTATATTACCCCCTTTTCATGCATATTCCATTTACATATATCTCTGTATCTCTGTACCTTTAAACCATCTATTTTTTTTTATTTTTTTTTGTTGTTCTTTTAATGAACTTTAATCAAACCCTTTTTTTTTTTGTTCTTTTAATGAACTTTAATCAAACCCTTTTTTTTTTGTTCTTTTAATGAACTTTAATCAAACCCTTTTTTTTTGTTCTTTTAATGAACTTTAATCAAACTTTTTTTTTTTTGAACTTTAATCAAACAACTTTTTTTTTCTTCCTTTCTTTCTCTTTAAAAACAACTTTCTCACTCTAGTTTTCACATTTAAATAATTTAAATGGACTCATCACCTTTATAACATCACTCCCATACTCTTGAGTCCTAATTTTGAAAAGTGATTTTAAAAATTGTCACTGATTGGCCAATTACACTTTTGGCGCAATTTTCAAATTAACATAGCCCTATTTAAACAACCCCTGTAGTAGTAGTAGGTTACTACTTTTATCCCATTCTGAAGAAGCCACTTATGGTGAAACGCGTTTATGGTTATTAATTCTGTATTTTACTGTGTATTTTAGATCAATAAAAGTTTTTTGGCTACTTTATTGTACCAATCCTCTTTTATTGCACTCTTTATGCACTTTAAACAACTTTTGTTTTTACCTATTCCTGGCATTTTAACCTTTCCTGGTTACTTTTACTTCCATTGGCAATTTTAAAGTTCCAGTACTCCAAGAAATCCTAGGTGGGGATCATACCACCGGCGCCTATCCATAGAGCAGTACCTCTGCTCTATCTTTTGTGAGTATTATTTTATTTTCTCTACTACTCTCTTAACCTATCACAATTGAGAGCACTATTGCTGCTTTTTATTCTTCTATATTGGAGCCTTGGATCACCAGACGGTGCTGACGGACGTATCGCCGCTACATATCCTATAAGCTGGGATTATACCGCTGTACGCTATCCACACCAGAGCTGGCCATAGCTCCCTCAAATGTGAGTTTTTTACCTCTTCTTATCTGCACATTGAACCACATCAAAATTGAGAGCACTATTGTTGCTTTCTGTCTTTCTTTTTCGAGCTCTGGACTACCGGACGGTGCTGACGGAGACCCCTCCCTACATATCCCATAAGCGGGGATTATACCGCTGTACACAATCCACACCAGAGCTGGCCATAGCTCTCCTGAATGTGAGTTCTTTACTTTTTGTTACCTATCACACCCTGAACTTTCATACTATACCATTAGTCGCTTCTACCTCTCTTGTATTTACATATACGGAACGGTCTACACCAGACGCATCCACAGAGGAACTCTATCAAGTATCCTAGACCATCTATTGGCACCCTAGCAATACTTTACTGGACTATCTACCCTTATTTGGCGCAGCCCTTCCATATCTTTTTGTACATATTATATACTGTTTTTTAAAGGACAGAAAGGGCTTTAATTTGATATAACATATATATATATATATATATATATATATAAATGCTTACTTATTATAAAAAAAATACAGAAAAATGCAAAAAAAATGAAAAATATTGGTTTTTTTTACAGTTTTTGCAATAATAATGTGTGCATAATTAGTGCAGGTTAAGGAAAGTAATTAAAAATAAATTTATTTATTTGTTCTGATTTACAGAATATATAATGTGTCTGGGATTTTAAGTTTTTTTTGGTAGTTACAGGTCACAAAGCACAAGGAGTAAAATAAACTTTTAATGTGGAGCGATTTTAGAATTTGGTATGTTTGTCTTGTAAGCTTAATAGCCATAAAAGAAAACAAAATTGCCACACAAAAGTATATATTTATATAAAGTAGACATCACGGGCTATTTACCTAAGGTTGTTTTGACACTTTCTACGTAGCCATTTCACCGCCAACCTCTGCTAAATATTGGAGTAAAATTGTGTTCTTTTTGGTTTTTGGCACACAAACTTATAACAGAGAAATTCTCGTGTATATTTTGTAAAGTTGGTGTGTGCTATTCCTGTACAAAGTTTTATTTTGTGTTCAGTTACATCTGCTGAGTAAAATGACACCCCCATTGTATGTCTTTTGCACTATTTCGTGAAGTTACAGTGCCATACAGGATACCTGTCCTTTTCAGTATTCACAGTAGAATTTTGAGAGATGGATTTAATGAGCCTTAGCTTCCATTTGGGGTATTATAACAGTTTGACTGTTCAAAAACCCCCCACAAAGGCCTACCATTTGTAAAAGTAGACACTCCAGGGTATCTTATAAGGTGCATATTGTGCCTTAACATGCCCCCATTTTTTCACCAATATATGCCAAAGTATGTGGTAAAAAATAATTTTGTGCATTTTTTACATACGGATTGCATTTTTGCTGGGCGTTTTGTATATTTCATATGTGCCACTAAGTTCAAACCCCCCAAATTATGCTCAGCTAAGTCTTCTGAGTAAAATGACACCCCATATGAATGTCTTTGGCACTATTTCGTGAAGCTACAGTGCCATATAGGAGACCAAGCCATATCCGTTTTTACCAAACTTTGAATTTTGACGCTGGGCCTATGTGCAATTTCCAAGCATCTTCGCAGGTTTTAAATTCAAACTACCCCACAAAGGCCTACCATTTCTTAAAGTAGACACCCCAGGGTGTTTCAAAGGTATAGTTTGAACCTTAGCGTGGGATCATTTTTCCGCTAGCTTGTACCAGATGTAGTGGTAATAAGCGTTTTTTCTGCCTTTTTGACATACAAAGTGAGTTTGCACAGTATATTTTGCAAACCTTATGTGTGCTACGACTGTATAATACTTCATATGTTGCTCAGCTATGTCGGCTGAGTACAGCAATACCCCCGTATGTACCTTTGCCAGGTATGTGTGGACATCGGAGGGGCACATTTGGGACACAGCCATTCCAGTTTTTTTCAAACTTTGAATTTTTATGCTGTGCCTATGTCCCATTTTAGAGTATTTTACCAGGCTATATAATCCAAATTCCCCATAAAGCCATACCATTTCTTAAAGAAGACATCCCAGGGTATTTCAAAAGGCATATTTTGAACCTTAGCGTGGGATCATTTTTCCGCTAGCTTGTACCAAGTGTAGTGGTAATAAGCATTTTTCTGCCTTTTTGACATACAAAGTGAGTTTGCGCAGCATATTTTGCAAACCTTATGTGTGCTATGACTGTATAATACTTCATATGTTGCTCAGCTATGTCGGCTGAGTACAGCAATACCCCCGTATGTACCTTTGCCAGGTATATGTGGATGTTGAAGGGGCGCATTTGAGACGCAGCCATTCAGTTTTTTCTAACTTTGAAGTTTTACGCTGTGTCCATGTTCCAATTTGGAGTAGTTTAGACGGTTGGTTATTGAAACTTCCCCACAAACACATACTATTTATTAAAGAATACACCCTGGGGTAATTCAAAAGGCATATTTTGAACCTTGGCGTGGGATAATTTTTTCTCTAGTTTGCTCCAGGTGTAGTGGTAATGAGCGTTTTTAAAATGTATTTTTTTACTTTTTATAACTTTTTTACTTTTAAAAACTAGTTTTTAAACTTTTGTTTTGCTTATAAATTTTTTTTAAACTTTCCTAAACTTTCTTAAAACTTTTTTACAGATTTAACATTTTTCTAAGCTTTTTTTTTTACCGTTAACCCCTAACTAGCAGTACGCAGCAGTAACAGTAAATTCCCCATTTTCCCATAACTCCCACCCACCCCAGCTAGCAAAATATATAGTTATAAAATATTTAAATTAATTAAATAAATTGAACCCCTGAGGGTTAAAAAAATAAATAAAAGCTAATCCTCAGGGGTTAAAAAAAATTAGATCACAGTATAATACTGTGATCTCTATTTGATCGCTGTAGGCAGTGATCGACTGGCAGGGAAGGGGTTAATTTTTATTTGGACTAGGTAAAGTGTGTTTTTTTTGTTTTTTTTACTTAAATGTTATTAAAACATTTTTTAAGCTTAATTTTTAACTTTTTAAAGTTTCTTTTAAAACTTTTTTTAACGTTAACCCCTAGTTAGCCTAACGCCAAATCCCCCAATTCCCCACTAACTTCCACCTACCCCAGCTAGCTAAATATATAATTAAAAAATAATTTAATTAATTAATTTAATTAATTTAACCCCTGAGGGTTAAAAAAAAAAGAATTAACCCTCAGGGGTTAAAAAAAAAAATCAGATCATAGTAAAATGTAATCCCTGCCAATTGATCACTGTAGTCAGTGATCAATTGGCAGGGAAGGGGTTAATTTTTTATTAAAATGGGTAAGGGGGGGGGACTTTAAATAAACTTTATTTTTTTTTACAGCAGGGGGCAGGATCAGCACTGATCCGGCTCCCTGCACTTCACACAGAACCCGGAAGTGCAGGGAGCCGGTAGGTGAGTATAGAGAGCACATGTGCTCGCTCAGACTTGTGGTCAGAGCGAGCACATGTGCTGGGCAGCCTGACCTGGTGCTCCCGGTATGCCTCTAATGCAGAGGCATACCGGGAGCACCATTAACCCCGCGATCGCTGCGATAGCGGTGATCCGGGGTTAATTTTACCGCGTGACGGACGAGGTCCGTCACCCGTCGTTAAGGGTCTCCCCTGTGTGACGGACCTCGTCCGTCACCCGTCCTGAAGGGGTTAAAGTGTGTGCAAATGTAGATCTACCTTGATATACACAAACACTCAACTGAAACATTTATCTGTGTAAGTAAGCAACAATATATTCCATACATACTGAACAGCCCAAACCTTTTAATTATAGATAAAAAAAAAAGAAACAGCAAGCTGTAAATTCATTATATACATGTATTATATAATTAAACAAAGCACTAAAACTAAAACTTGCAGAACTGAGAGCTGCTTTACGATAGCAGTTACTAGCGCAGACATATGGTGACACTGGGTCAACTTACTATAAATAGACTGGGGATAGTAAAGTCTACATACAATTAGTTTTTATCTGCAGTCTTATTTTTTCTGTCCGAATCAGTAGAATATCCTTAGATTAGATAAACTTTAACAATGCTGCAATTCTCTAAATTTTTCCATGTCAATATCTGTTAAGAAATACATAATCTAAATAGTGTAATAAAAGAAATAGAGTGGCAACTAAACAGAATAACACTATCAACATAACCACGCAAGGCTTTAAATATTCACACATCTATACGGTTTACAAAGTGTACCTCATCTAGGCCTGCTAAATATACTGTATCTATACATAACTACCGGTAGATAAGTTACAGGACTACTGTGGCGAAACCGGCCTCGCCACGTGTCCTTGGAGGGGGCTGCTTGCCCGCCTCTTGCCTTTGGACTATGGACCAGACTTTATGAGAATGTGTTAACCCAGATAGCTATGCCATGGAGCCCATTTGTGTAGTTAAAGATTTCGGCTCCATGGCAATTGAACTGTGTGAATAGGATCTGAGCGCTCTTCAGTAGTTTTGTGCGCTCAGATCCCAGCTATCTGGGGATATGTGAAATGTCTGTGTTTTGTGTATAAAATGTGACTTTGTGTAATTTATAATATTTTAATGCTTTGTGCTCACCATGTGCATAATGGAGTCTTGTGTCTGTCCTGGGAGATAATTGAATTACTTCTCAATTATCTCCATGATAGAAGACTCTGAAACTGGTTTGGGCCAGAAAGCCATGCTTCATTTAGTCACAAAGGACTTTCCCTTAACTTTTGAACCCCTGGTCTGATTCGTGCCATTTTTTAATATGTTGTTGCCCTGAATGGATTGATTATGAAAATGTATGTTTTATGTTTGTGACATGTATAATTTAGAAGTTATAAATATTGTGTAAAAACTGTATTCCTCTGCCGGTGATAATGAGATTACCCATTGTGTTCAGTAATCATATCACATGCAGAGGGGAGGATTTTGTGTGGGAGTGTCTGGGTGTATTGTACGGATTGATTGGTTGTTTTGTAACGCCCTGTGGGCTGTACTATGTTTGTGGATTGGGAATAAAAGAGACTGTATGTGACAGTACAGGGAGTTCCTGTTTTAACCCTCAAAGTGAAGTGTCGTCTCATTATTGGGGGAAGGATTCATTGTATGCTGTTCCAGTTTGACTGCTAGGAGAGTAAACCTATTCGTATGGTTCCTATTCAACTGTCTACAGCATTCATATGCTTGGGAGAATTTATTGGTTTCTCCGGTTCGGTGATTGTGGTGTCTGCCAGAGTGCTTGGAGTCCTCAGGAAGCGCTAGGAGCATCCTTCAACGGAGGTACCCAGTCGGGGTGCCAGGTAATCCGTTACATTGGTGGCAGCGGTGGGATGGCGTCCTAGTGCGAGGTAAAGCAGCTCAGAGACACAGTTCGTTTGGAGTTACAAATTGAGGGCAACGCTAGCACACGTGCAGCGCCCCTGGGAGCAGAGGTATCCAGCGACTTGGAGCAGACAAGTATGGAATGCTCTGGCGATGATTGGATGGCCGAGGTGAGGCAGCGAGTGGCCCAGTATGGGGATGATTTACCCATGGAGGTACGCCGGGTGATCTGGAACCAGGTCACGGCCGAGCGAAACACAAGGCTGGCCCGAGAATTCCGGCTGGCGAAAGAGAGAGAGTATGCTCAGCGGAAGGAGTGTTACAGCAGCCGAGTAGAGGCTGCATCTGCAACTATGCAGATGGGACTGTAGTCTTTGCACTTGCAGCACCAGGGGTAGGGATGGTCGGTCCTGTCCCCCAGCCACAGAACAGTGCATCCAGAGGGGAGACAGTCGGTCTCCCCCTCCCACAACCAGGCTCCAACCAGGCTACTTCAGTGGTAGCGCTGGCACCCGGGCAGAGTACCGCTGGTCTCTGCCCACTCAGCAACCCACCAAGGCAGTCTACCAGCCCCCCGCACAGCCGTGGTGAGGCACCTGGACATGGACAAGTTGCTATTTTATCCAGGTGTAGTAACCAGTTATTGTGGGTGGGCTGTATTGCTGTTTGTGCTTCGTGGGTGGGTTGCTGGACTAACCAGGGCACTGACCGGCAGGAGGTCAGATACCCTGTTAGTCTGGATGGTAAAGGGGAGAAATGTGGCGAAACCGGCCTCGCCACGTGTCCTTGGAGGGGGCTGCTTGCCCGCCTCTTGCCTTTGGACTATGGACCAGACTTTATGAGAATGTGTTAACCCAGATAGCTATGCCATGGAGCCCATTTGTGTAGTTAAAGACTTCGGCTCCATGGCAATTGAACTGTGTGAATAGGATCTGAGCGCTCTTCAGTAGTTTTGTGCGCTCAGATCCCAGCTATCTGGGGATATGTGAAATGTCTGTGTTTTATGTATAAAATGTGACTTTGTGTATTTTATAATATTTTAATGCTTTGTGCTCACCATGTGCATAATGGAGTCTTGTGTCTGTCCTGGGAGATAATTGAATTACTTCTCAATTCAATCTCCAGGATAGAAGACTCTGAAACTGGTTTGGGCCGGAAAGCCATGCTTCATTTAGTCACAAAGGACTTTCCCTTAACTTTTGAACCCCTGGTCTGATTCGTGCCATTTTTTAATATGTTGTTGCCCTGAATGGATTGATTATGAAAATGTATGTTTTATGTTTGTGACATGTATAATTTAGAAGTTATAAATATTGTGTAAAAACTGTATTCCTCTGCCGGTGATAATGAGATTACCCATTGTGTTCAGTAATCATATCACATGCAGAGGGGAGGATTTTGTGTGGGAGTGTCTGGGTGTATTGTATGGATTGATTGGTTGTTTTGTAATGCCCTGTGGGCTGTACTATGTTTGTGGATTGGGAATAAAAGAGACTGTATGTGACAGTACAGGGAGTTCCTGTTTTAACCCTCAAAGTGAAGTGTCGTCTCATTATTGGGGGAAGGATTTATTGTATGCTGTTCCAGTTTGACTGCTAGGAGAGTAAACCTATTCGTATGGTTCCTATTCAACTGTCTACAGCATTCATATGCTTGGGAGAATTTATTTGTTTCTCCGGTTCGGTGATTGTGGTGTCTGCCAGAGTGCTTGGAGTCCTCAGGAAGCGCTAGGAGCATCCTTCAACGGAGGTACCCAGTCGGGGTGCCAGGTGATCCGTTACAACTACATACTACCTATTGCCAACAGGTCACATAATCTCTAAGGGCTAAATGGATAAAATGTGTCTTAGAAGCGGTATAAATAGCGGCTTTAACAATACTTCTACCAGTAGACAATAATTGGATCGATTGAGTCAACCATTGCAGTCATCAATTTCCAGGTGCGCCCAGTACGAACAACACTGATGAATTCATTCCCTTAAATTGCAAATGGGGCTATAAAACAATATCATGTAAAACGCTGGACAGTAGTTTATTGGATAAGAAAACTGCTACACTACTGTAGACAAGAATAAGCACCTGAATTGTGGAGCCTCATGCGGTCTGGGAGGGATCTACTTACGGTGCCTGTGCATAAGTTGCACGTTTAGGAACTTTCGAGGTGTTTAAGATGCTAATGTTCGGCATACCCTTTTCTGCTTTGCCCTCTCAAAGGAAAGGTTTTTACTGTTCTATGGTACAACCACACATTTCCCATGAGACCGTTTTGTATTTTTCTTCTCCTGGAATTGTATGTCATCTCTTGAAATAAAGATTGACCAAAAATGTAATAAAAACATGTTTTGACGATGCTAACTTTCTTTACACAATTTTGAATTCAATAGAACATATACATACATATATATATATACACACACACACACACACACATATATATTGGATTAGAGCACTCTGGCGTCTTTGTAGAAGTGAAGAAATGCTTTTATTCAGCACAAAACATAAATCAACGTTTCAGTCCAAGATGGAAATGTTGATGTGTGTTTTGTGCTGAATAAAAGCATTTCTTCACTTCTACAAAGACCCCAGAGTGCTCTCATCTATTATACTTATAATGTGGCTTGAGATTGCAAGACCGGGAATCCATGGTGCTAGGATCGTGGACAGACAGACAGACACACACGCTCTCTCCGCCTGTGATCATCTCCTGTCCACTACTCGCACCCGTACAGCCAACTCACCCTTCCTATGGAATAGCCTGCCTACCTCCATCAGACTCTCCGATAGTCTTCAATCGTTTAAGAAGTGCCTTAAAACCCATCTTTTTAGGAAATCGTATGGCCTCCCAGAGTAACCTCACATACCTGTCTCTTGGTCTCTCCTGAAGGACAGCACTCTACTCTCTCCTACAGCTTTGCTGCACTCCCACCCATTTTGATTGCCACTTCCTGTCCTATTGTGTTTTACACCCCACTTCCTATAGACTGTAAGCTCGTTTGAGCAGGGTCCTCTTCAACCTACCGTTCCTGTAAGTTTTCTTGTAATTGTCCTATTTTTAGCGAAATACCCACTCTTATAATATTGTAAAGCGCCACGGAATCTGTTGACGCTATATAAATAGCAATAATAATAATAATAATAATAATAATAATAATAGTTGCTCTTTCCTCAGTCACACAAACCGATTAATAATGCTGTATGATGCTAGTACAGTTAAAAGAACATATTGTACCAGAAAAAACTATTCCTGACAGTATAGTGCTTAACTATTTAGGTGATCGACCTCCATAAGATCATAAGGGAAACGTGTTAATACTTACAGTTTCTCCATCTGGTCCCAATCCAATGCTTTCCTCTAGGAAAGCAAGACTTCTGCGCATGCACTGCAAAACACCATGCTGCACCAATCAGCACCTCCTCATTGAGATGCATCTCTTATAGGGAGCATTCAGCATCTCTATGCAGAGCAAGGAGATGATGATTGCCAGTACTACACACGCTGCAGCACTGAACAACGAAGCACCTCTAGTGGTCGTCTGAGTAACTGCAACAAGAAGTGTTCCTAGGCACCAACATAAACACTGCCTTTTCTCAAAAAAAAAAAAAAGGCAGTGTTTACAGTTCTCAGCCTATATAAAGCTGCAGTTGTTTCTTGTGTCTATATTGTCCCTTTATCAATGACAGAGTTACACTGATTTTGCAGCCCCAAAAAATGTATGATAATACTTCATGTTTTTGGTATAGAAAATTAAGACAATGTAGGTAAACACTTGAGCATAGTTTGTTTGGAAGGAAAAAATCAGCCTAGCTTTCAACTCTCTGACCGTATCCTCCTAAATTACTGGATCCCTGAATTCACCCAGGCCACTTTAGCTCAAATAAGTAGTCTGGATGCAGTGGTCCTGTAGTTTTAACCCTACAGGACCACTGTTGTAAAAACTGCAATATTTACATTGCAGAGCTAAAAACACCTATGCTATGAGAAGCATTTGGATACACGCACATTCTGTGCATGCACAACAGTTTCCAATGCTCCCCTCTGAGAAAGCCAGGTGACATCACACGAGGAGGTGCAGGACAAGGAAAAAAAACAAAACAAACTTTTTCATTTTTTTAAGAAAATAGAAAGTGGGGGAGGTAAACCCAATCTGCAACTAAGACACAAATGCTATAGTGTTCCCGTAATTAAATCCTAAAGAATTCCAATGACATGGAGCATTTGGCATTTGCATTTTTGCTAATAAACTCAGTGATTCAAGCAAAATAAGAATGTAAGTACTTAACAAGCAGTGACTGTGCAAATATATTACCCCCTTAATTATCTAGAGCTCTAAAAATTCTCCTGTAATTTTTCCAAGTCAAGGGAAAAGTACAGATCTTTAACCTCTGCATTAAGGCATCATTGTCAGTGTCAGCATTCGGTAACTTGGGATTAGCCTGCCAAAAATAGACTGCAGATAAAAGTGTTTTATAACAACATTTTATCTATGGCCTATTTTTAGTACAGTTCCACTCATCTCCATAGATTACACATACAAAACAGGCAATATTGACGGTTTTATTTCAGTTCAATGTAGTAAAAGCTTCCTGCGCTTGTGATGTAAACTGAATGCATAAACTCAGGCTGCAAGCACAGAGTAGGTATTTCTCATAGAGTAGTACAAAACACAAGCTGTGCAGCATTTTTAAACTGTACAATATACACGCCAAACCTAAAACCTCATGAATGAGATTTCATAGTAAAACCAAGTGTCCAAGTACTTACAGTAAATTTAGATTCGTATGGGTAATGTGAAAGGCAAACTTTAGTGTATTTAGAAGCAGAGTAGCCAGACTAACTACTGACAAAATTCTAGTTTTTGGTAAAATGCATAAATTAAAAAATGAATGGACTAGCAAACTACTAGCATAACTTCATTTTGTGCCAGACTACCTCTGCCACCCATCAATGTGTAGGAGTATAATTTTGCCCTACTATATCTAATGCATGATTTCTAAATGTTTGTGTGTAGAAATAGTTTAAGTCCGAAGCCAGACAATCTTTTCTCCCAGCCACATTATATGGGTTTTAAGCCAAATGTAAATAGAAATTGGTTTCAGTTGTGTAGCTAGAGACTGTAATGTGTGGGGATAGTGGATGTAGCGAGTGAGAGAGTGCGTGTGTATAGGTGCTGTAGAGTGGGTGTAGTGGGGGCATAGTCAGAGGCGTAATGAGAAACCAGGGGGCACTGGAGTGAAAATTGCCCTACACGGACACACATGCTGGTACAGATGCACAGATACACTCACTGACACAAACGCAAATTCACAGACACACAAACACATACAGATACACAGACTTACTTACACACAGGCACATAGAATGACATACATTCAGATTCACGGAATGACACTCCTACAGATGCAAGCACTGACACACATTCAGACAGATACACATGCAGATACATAGATACTTAATGACAAACATTCAGATACACAGAATGACACTCTTACAGATACAAACAGTAACGCAGATAGTCGCAGGGTTCCACACAGTGGCCCGGTCCGCTAAAGTGGTCACAGCTGTGAACCCTGTGACGATGGTAGGTCCACCACTGGGCATAGTGTGTGTATAGCATATTTAACAAGTGTGTGCATAGGAACTGTAGTGTATGTGTGTAAAGTGATGTGTGTAAAGAGTGCGTGTAGAGAATATAGAGTGTGCTTGTGTACAGGAGATCTAGACTGTGCATATGGGATCTAGAGTGTGTACAGAGAATGTTAGTTTAGAACTTTCACACCTCGCCACATAGTGTCAAACCGCAAGGGAAGCAATTGATGAGTATTCCTCTGGCTGGCGGACATTCGTAAAGACGTTTGCCAGCCAGGGGGAGCGTTCGTGGATGGTTCCCGAACGAGGACCTCCCCCAGTGCCCCATTAGAATGTTCGCATCAATTAATCAGAACATTCGCACTTGCAACGTAAGTGTGAAACTACAAGGGAAGTTATTAATGAATGCTCCCCTGGAAGGCCGTCATTTTGCACAGACTAATGCCGTCCAGGGGGAGCATTTGCGTCCTGAAAGGAGACGCTTCCCTTGCAGGTTCTACACAGAAACCTCGTGAGCGGAACCTGGTCGAGGAAGGTACCGCTGCGAGGGTCCCTGAGATTAGTGTGGGCACTTCTGGGGCATTGGTGAGTTTGGGGGGCTTTGCGGTGCCCGCTGTGACAAAGAGACCAGGTCTACCAGGTACAGAGGCTCATGGGATGAAGATCCCCCCTGTCCCTAGATGTGGGAAACCCTGTGTTTGGGTGGCAGGCTTTTGGAGACAAAGGGACAAAACACTTTCCAGCGTTCGGTTCCCAAGGAGGGGGAGGACCCTGGGAGGGGGCATTGCATGCTGTGTGTCACACCCCTTTCATGGGGTATGCTTAAAAGCTGTGTGTGGTCAGTAAAGTGGTTGTTGACGACTGTGTGCCGTCCAGTTACTGGGGGGAAATGGGTCTCTTTATATCCCAAATGGTTCCCGTTCAGCTGAAGGAAGGGAAATAGTGGAGGTGAGCAGTCGGGTTACCAGGTGGTCCGCTACAGTGACTGACTGTTGCCTGCAGTTTCTCTGGCTGCAAACAGCATTCACTCCTCTCACAAGCTCCGGGATTGTGCTAGGTCGGAGCATTGACATGGTAATCCACTACAAAGCTCCAAACTTCTCCTGAAAGGAAGATACCAAGTACCAAAAACACTACAGAGAATGTAGTGTTTTATCATGCCAGGAGTGTCCTGGCATTGTCCCAATGTAAGGAGTCAAACAGTTTGAAAACATTTTGACGTCTTACTTGCAGTCCGCCGTGTGCCACACTCTGGAAGCCGGAAGCACTCGTCATTTAGCCAGGTTTGGTGGTGCAGGGTTTGCTTATTGGCTGCAGTTGAGCTATCCCTGAACTGCAGGGCTTAGTTCAAGTGAGGTAATAGAAGTTCCTAGCAGGAACTTCTGGATTTCAATTCCAATGTAGATAGGCAGGGGCCAGTGCACTGTGAACCCCAGGAAAGAAGTTAAACCGTTAAATGGCTTGACCACTTACAATGGAGGCATCAGGGCACTTCTAGCACCATAACCACCACAGCATTGTGTAGCAGTTATGCATTTGGAGTGCTCCTTTGAAGACATAAAAGAGAGAAAACATACTAGACAAATTTAACGCTTTAGAAAAAAATAAACGTATTGTTTAGGTGATAAACCCCACCACCTAAACGAGTGCAGCGCTAAACAGTAGCTTACTTACTCCTCAAATATATATATGGGGTGTTGACATGCAAGATAAAAGCAGATATATACAAATAGTGCAATATTGTATGGGGAAATTAAAAATCTAAAAAGTCAGAATACAATCAAACTCACATTTGTTAGAGTCTTTTTATCAATATAGGCTCTAAACACCGTGGACCTTAGGGCCTTTATTAGTGTCTCCTTTAGCCTTCTTCTAGAACGACTGTGGTTTTCGTATATTTTTCCACAAACTGAAAGGCTGAGCCTGTGGGCGAAGCCTGTAGTTGTGGGAGGGGATATTGCTATAAATACACAGGACGCCCCTTCCTCTGGACTGAGACTGTCTGGCTCAGTACAGATCCATCTACTTCCAGTTCAAAGGTCATCAACACAAACTGCCTAAACTCCAGACAAGCTGGTCTTGGCTTAGTGCGTCCCATGCAAATATTAATTTTACCTCACTCTAGTAAAGAGCCTCCTCCCTCAAAACTTATAGGGCACCTCTGTGTCTGTTACTGTTCACACATTTTATTTTATTTTCTCTCCAAAACGAAGTTTGTTCATTCGAATATGGCAAATATCACTACTAATGCAAATCCAGCCTATTTCAATCGTACATAGCATTACAGCGATGCCTCAGTTAGCTTCATGCTTTTACTTACTGTATTTGGCCATATCGACTTATCATATGCAATTCAGTTGTCAGCCTTCTTTTTATGTTTCATTTGTCTGCCCTAATTAGGACTACATTGTTTAGTATTTATGTGGCTAGGTGTTGCAACAGTCTAAATTTAGGTCAGGCCCAAATTTGGGCCTATACATATGGTTGAGGAAATCGAAATATTAACTTTTATATACATTCTCTGTACACAATGAAACTTCTTACTAAACAAACTCAAACTCATAAAATGTAGTATGCATTTCAGTTGCCAACCTATTTTTAATGCTTTATTTGTCTACCCTCTGGGTATTCAGGCACTCATTAGACCTATATTGTTTATTAATCATGTGGCTAGGAGTTGCAACAGACTGTCTACGTTTATGTCAGGCCCAAACTTGAACCTATACATGTGGTTATTTTAAAAATTAAAAATATTTTGATATGTGTTCAGTTATTGGGATTTGTTTATTGCATGCTTACCAAGTACTAAGCCATCCCTGCATAATTAAGCCTTAAGTAATTCTGGCTCGCTAATGTTGCCCTGATTTCTCACGTTTGCCCAAAGTTACTTTCATATTTTTCTGCAAATAACATCTTTTAATAATGAGTTTGCTACTTTAGGTTATTCCTGGATCAATTTTTTATTGCCTACTTCTTACAACTGTGTATGATCTCTATTAATGCTGTATGCACTTAAAGAGACACGCCAATGCCCAAATACAAACTAAGTGGAAATCACTGTTTAGTGGATGTGCCCCGAATGAAAACATACATGTACCTTTGGAGTGAGTTTTCCCCTTTAAATTATTTTTTTCTTATCATAAGCAATTTACAAGCGAGTCTAAATAATCCCTACATTAGGAGTTTCTTAACGTGCACTAGAGGGCTTCTACCACCTGGTATGGGCTTTCAATTCAATTGCTGCATTTTATGATTTATTGTCTGCTACGACCACTCAAGCACATCAATTTTCAACCTTCCATTAATTCGGTCCGCATTCAACCGAGCAAGTTTTCCTTATACAGTACAACCTCGTCCATTTTTTAGACATGGTTAACATTTCGCCTACCCAAATGTCGGTTTCGGCACACCACAACAGACTTGTGCACCACTAACATAACTTGGCTTTTTGTCCCCGACCACAAATGGATATAAATGGATGGAAAGACAAAAAAACAAGACAGCGATCTGGGTACGCACTGTTATTACAGGTAAGTTGGCAGGGACGTATTAGCCGCGAGGCAAAAAAGGCATTTGCCTTGGGCGGCATTTTTCAGGGGGCGGCAAAAAACGCCGCCCCCCAAATGCCCAGGGCAAATGCCTAGTTAGCCTAGGGCAGCACAAAACCAGGATACACCACTGTAAGTTGGTGTATCCAAATGACAGAACGCTCCCTTTGTTTGAAGCCGGTTTGATAACTGGCTCCCAAATATAGGTATTTTGTCACATTTCACTCTTTAACCTGTCCTCTCTCCGTTGACATAGGAATGCTCTAAATCTTCATCTATAGACTAAACCCAACATATTCTGGGGTCTTTGCACCCTGCCCCCATTCTAAAATACATGCATGGAGTCAAACAATATACTGATATACTAGCACAGTCTGGACATTATCATGTAAATTGTTTACCCTAGATTTTATAAAATCCAGGAACTCTTAGTCTTCCCAGAGACCGACACAAAGCAATTGGCAGCTACATCCTTTTCTACCACTACAAACGTGTATTCCTGGCGCTATAGTTCTAAAGTGGCCATTTTAATGACTATACACCCATGTTTTTTCCCCATGCCGTGCCAGTGTGTCCACAGCTGGCCCCACCTTAATGGCGATCACAGCCAATCCAATGCTTTTTCATAGGAAACCATTGAGAGGCTATTGTGCATGTTGGGCAAACACTGCTTAGCGCCAATCAGCATCTCCTCATAGAGATGCATTGAACCAATGCATTCCTATGGGAAACGTTACGCATCTATGTAGTGTGGAGACGCTGAACGCCAGTGCTGCAAACAGTGCAGCACTAAGATAGGAAGTACCTCTAGTGGCAGTCTGAGTGACTGTCTGCCACTAGAGGTGATCCTAGGCAGTGTTTACATTGAAAAGCCTGCAGGGACAGGCTGTAGACACCATAACCAGTACGTTAAGATTTTGAAGACCATTTGTTCAACGATGTGGAGCATACATTTCACTCATTTTACATCAACCATTCTTCCCCTACACAGGTATATCAACCAAAATGTACCCATTTATGTTTCTTGAATAAATTAGACTCAAAAAGTAAAATAATAGAGATGGAACATAACTAGAGGTATACCAACAAATGCAGGAATTTCTAGAATTATAAAAATAACAAATCACATCTATTTACTATGCACCACACAGTTTTGTTTATTTAGTAAGTACTTACCGGTTGTATCTGCATATAAATAAACCAGAGACATTTTTATGAATGATTAGGACCAACACAAGTGAAGTGTCCTTCCGTAAAATGACGATTTGTAGTTTGTAGTTTTTGCTGTAGCTCTAAGTTAAATCCTGTACTAGTTACTTATTAAACGCCATAAATTCATGTTTCCTTATAAGGAATGCTTGACTAGTCACAGGTATAAACTACTATAATAAAACGTAACCTTTACAGGTAGTTGTTTGAAAAAAAGAAAAAAACATTTTTTGAAAAACTTGCCAGAAATATGCATTTAAAACTACTGCACATTAAAAGAACTTGACAAGGTTAAAATATTTGTCATAACAGGTAGAACTAGATTCCATACAGGTGCCGAATCATTTACGCTTTCAGGGGAACGTACAAGTCAAAGTCCTACTTCATAGAAAAGTGATATCATCCATATAGTAAATGAATGAAAAATATATTAAAAAAAAAAACTCAGGTACCATTTCAACAACTAGGGTTAATAACCAAAGTGAGAATTCAAAGTGAATTTCAAATCCAAAGTAAAAATAACTGAAAACATATCTAGGTCAGCTAGAACAGTAGAGAACATATGTTTAGGAAAACACTGATTTTGGATAGAGTAACCTCCGCGCTCCCAAAATATATTTATATATAGAAGCAAAAATGTATAGCTGCACCCATGGTTTTCTAGTCACATTAATCTTTATTTTCCCTTCAGATTAGAGGCAGTGCTGAACAACCAAAATTTCTAATCTGGAGGGAAAAAACAAGCAGGCAATCCCCAAAATTTCCCCCAATATTTCACAACTGCTTGTAACACCTTGCGCCCAAAAGTTGCGTCTTCTGAGGTCAGTGTGTCTAATTTGTAATGTTTAGCAAAGTGCTTAAACTCAGTATGTGCAGAGTCTAGGCACCATGACCACCTCAAATGACTGAAGTGGTAATTGAGCTTGGAGCAACCCTTTAAATGTGAAATCCACTTTGAATTCTAACTTTGCTGAATAACTGAAAGTATGCCTTAAACATTATTCATGAAGTGTAAATCATTAAATAAAATGTATAATTACCATGTCACACGTAGGTATCCCAAAAGGCTGCCTGGATTATGTGAAATTATCTCATAAAACACATGCTTCAAATGACTTTCGAAAACATGATCTTTCATAGCTAAACAGTGCCCCACAGTGGGAGAACAGTCTACAGAAACAATGAATATGACACAATGTCATGAAAAGGAATGGGTGGCATGAAAAAAATTAATTTAAAAATCTCCAAATGACAAAAAAAAAAGTTTAAAAAAAAGTATAGCATACAGACACCATTAAAAAATAATAATTCAATAAAAAGTATAGTTCCAAGATTAAAAACACAGCACAGTAATTGACCAAACATTTTAGACATGCATCCATCATTTCTCTTAGATCATCAAACTGCTTACAATAAAAGTACTGATAACATAAGTTAGACATTCTCAACCCATACAAACATATGGACAGTTCAAAGTTATGATCCAAAACATAAATAAAAAAAGATTTTTAAAAATGGAGGTCTGAATGATGTTTCCGATTACCAAGACATAAACCTCTGTGCCCTCTACTGGGTAAAGATTTGATTCTATCATTGTTTGTCTCGCATTCTATTTAACTACTTTGCAAGTGACTTTACATTTCGCTAAAGGTTTGTTAGCAAGTCTGGAAGTTATTCAGCTCCCATGATACTTTGTTTATTACAAATAAGACATTCAACAGGTTGTGGTGAAGCCTGCAGAAATAAAATCCAACAGAGCATATAACAAAACCAGATGCTTATAATTATATTAATAACAATGGCAAAAGGCTATAATTTGAGGGACACATGCAGCGATAGAGGAAGAGACACGGAAAGAATGTTAAATGGGTCCCAAGCTACAGGGGCCTAATTCAAAGATGAAAGTGACTATTGTATGACAATATTGGAGTAATTGCCAGTGAATGGTTTTAATTCCGAAACAGGAGATGTTCATTATTAAAAAAAAAATATATATCTCAAACAGAAGTGAAAGTCATACATCGAAAATATTAATCAAACCAAAATATAAGAATCACTCACTACCTGTTTAATGTCTCAAGCTTGACGATTTCCACGTGACCCAGCATATTAGAAATACTTATTTAGCTTGCATTATTCATTTTATAAAATTGTGCCTTTTCTCTGAATGCCATGCAAATGTTCACCTATGCTTGTTTTCAAACTGCATGTAACTGCTGTCATGGCATTGCAAGCCTGCTTATGTTATTTCATGCACAGCAAAAAATAAAGACTTATAAAACAAAAACAAAAAAACAAATACAAATCTGTAATTGCACTTTAATTGAAGCACAATTGGATGTGTCATTTGCACAATAATTAATAAGCACTGTTTGCTTAACATCTTTGTGACATTTTAAAAGCATGTATATTTGAAAGGCACAAGCGCACTTTATTATTTGGTTTGTACATTTTTATGCAGTGTTCTGTGGAGCTAAATACACGGATAAGATGCTGCTATTTAACGATCAATATATTTCTAGTGCCATATATACTTGTAATTTTTTGGTTTGTTTGAAAATATTAATGACAGTTTGAATTGACAGTTGAATGCGTGTATAGAGCATTCTAAGCAGGCGAATAAGTAAATGTATGTGACAGACTAGTGTTATTAGAAGAAATATTTTAAACTGGTTCTTATAGTTCGTAATGGTTGTATCAGATTGAGGTGTAAGAGATGACAATATAGTGAATTCCACTTTTCTTTGTCTACACCCGCCATCTGCACTGCTACCGATGTCGGATGGGTGCTGGCATAGGCTTTGCTACATAGGGGAAATTGCCCCCACCCAGATCATGCCTTGCCAGGTCTTTTTTTCAGTCTCCTAGAGGGGCCTATATACGTATCCAGAAGGCTCCCACCACGTGTCAGATATGAGGAAGTACAGGGCGGAAAGTGAACAGACACAAAGGGTGACAAGGTAAAACCTGCACCCACTACAGCCTCTTTACTCCCTTTCTCCCCTGCACCAACTACAGCCTATATATTACACCCTATAGCCCCATCTCCTGTGCACTTACTACAGCCCCTATCATTCCTATTACCCCACAATAACACTTTAAAGCTGAGCTATTACGCACCTCCCCACCCAAATAAAAAAATAAAAATAAAATTGTATTTTATAAAGATATAATCTATATGAATTAATCATTTTGATGGTGTTGGAATTTCACTGAAATTCCAACCCATTCAAGAGAGATACTGAGAAAGTAGGGACTACTGTATATTTCCTCGGACTGACACGTCTAGAAAGTAGTCATATATGGTAGGCTAGAAGTGTTAATCAATCCCCCATCAGTGATGCCTGCAGGGAATTGGCTCTATAGATGACCCCGTGGTTTCACGGGATCTGCCATAGACCTCCATGCTGTACTCTCTGGAACACTTTTCAGAACAATTCAATATTTCTCTCTTTATGTGATTGACAAATACTGGTAAGCTTCCCTAGGCTCATTACTATTTTGTACTATAAAATACTGGTATTCCCTAGGCTCATTACTATTTTGTATTATAAAATACTGGTATTCCCTAGGCTCATTACTATTTTGTATTATAATACAGTCTTTTCCCCCTCTTACTTATACGTAATGTTCTATTTAGTGAAGACAAAGATAAAAACAAAATTAGTTTCCAGAATAAAGTTAACAACCATGCAGGGATAAGGTTCTGAGACAACTGCTACAGAAAGATTAAACAAAACCAACACAAGCAGTTTACCCATAGATAAAATGGAAAATGAAACTGCAGATAAAGAGACACTTCCTTAACACACTGAGATGAATTTTTTTTTTTTTTTGTAAAACTCATTCTATTATCGGAAATTTACTAACTTGTGGCTTTCCCAATCTTGTTCTCAGGGGTGTTCACACTTGCCCTAGTTGTTACTGGACTGTGACTCTCATAATGTCTGCTGTCGTTCAACAGTTGGCCGACAGGAAATTATGACAGTTGTGGTGTAACAGCTGCCAGAGAGCTAAATTTGGACACCTGCTCTAAGCAACAGAACTACAGGGATATCGCAGAACAAAAAACAAAAAACTGGTTATAGTTACAAAATAATAATTCAAAGATGTAGACTGAAACACAGGAAAAGGACATTTTTTTTTTTTTTTTTTTAATATTGCCAAGCTGTAATTTAATAGATAAAAGGTGTAACTGAAGGAAGGAAATGGCAACCACACAATGATTTCAGATGAAAACCAGAGCTCCAATTTCTTTTCTGAAAGAGGATAGTTTGTTTATACTTTTTAAAGATAGAAAAATGAAAGGAGCACACACTTTCACAATAAGTGTTTTTAAAAAAAATTAAGTCTAGCTCTCTAAAGGACTAGTTTAGTATCCCCATCCCACTGTTTCTGATTTCTGTTTACCATCTCCAAAGGAAGTGGAAAACTGTTACATCCCAGACTTGTTCAATATATATTTTTTTAAACTTATCTCCTATATTGAGCAAAACTGGTTAGGCAAGGAATGAATACGAACACTAAATGTAGAAATTCACAAATGTCCTGGAACTGGTCTCTTCCACTTTGTTTCCCTTTCAAATATAATACCTTTAGCCCTTTTTTGTCATTAAATGTGGTTAGTGAAGAAGATAAATTGAAACAATGTTTCTGCTCTCTTCCTCATTTGAATTCTGTGCCCTGGTTATGCTTTGACTGAACAAAGTCACTTGCTAAATCTTTTTTCTACATTTTAAAAGAAAAAGCATCAAATAAAAAAAGTTGTTGGCCCAATTTATATGGGACTTTAAATGTTTTGCTCAATTTTGAATTTTTGGATATATTGCACTATGGTTTTTTTTTTTCCCACATGATCCTCTAAGCAGCTTGAAAGAATCTCGGAACTGAACAGCCTACATATTGAATTGCCTTCTTATTGACAAATGTGTGTTATTTTTACCAATAAATTGAACATAAATAGGTGTTTTTTACTTTCTACTCTATATGTGCCTTATTTTTGCATTTGTAGATATTCCGTTGTTTTGCTCAATTGTGTATTTTTCAGAGAAGTCACAGATTCATTTTTATCATGTCAAAATTTTAGAGCACTTTGGAAAATGCTAAATGTTTTATTGTATATATGCCTCAAATATATTTAGGGTTCCCACATATCTGGAAGCACCCAGCACCTCACATCAGTCAGTATAATAAAAAGTGTGGAAATCAGGCCTGCAGTTAACCACAGGTACCAAAGAGTGGGGTCAGCTGACTTCCTCTTCCAGTGCAATAAAGAAGAGTAGACCTAAACTTTAAAGGACCACTATAGTGTCAGGAAAACAAACTCATCTGGGTGCCTATAGTGGTCCTTTAAGTATGCATTAGTGGCTGATCAGCCAGTGTGTGCATGGGGCCTACTTAATTATGCCCATCATCCCACCCTCAGGGTCCCACTCCCACTCCTTCGGTCGCCATAGGCTGAATGCGCATGCGCGGCCATGCGCGAAAGGTTCTCAATGCTTTCATATGGACGCTGGCGTCTTATCACTGTGAAAAATCACAGTGAGAGGCGCGGAAGCGCCTCTAGCAGCTGTCAATGAGACAGCCACTAGAGGCTGGATTAACCCTATAGTAAACATAGACGTTTCTCTGAAACTGCTATGTTTACAGCAGGCAGGGTTTTTCCTCGATGGACGTGGCACCCAGACCACTTCATTAAGTGGAAGTGGTCTGGGTGCCTATAGTGGTCCTTTAACCCCTTAAGGACCGAGGACGGTTCAGGACCGTCATCGGCATTTTTGCCTTGAGGACCGATGACGGTCCTGAACCGTCCAAACGGTCTGGGGCTACTTACCTGATCGCCGTCGTTCCCCCGGCGGCGATCAGTGTTCCTCCGGTTGTGGGGAGACTGTCTGCAGCCCAGACAGTCTCCCCACGGCAGATTAGGACCCCTGTGGCCATGTGATCGCTTAACACAGCGATCACATGGTCACAATAGGTGTCCATGTGTCTGCCTGCAGGGGGACTGCCTGTACTGACAGGCAGTCTCCCTGCTAGTGTAAAATCAGAAAAAAAATTAAAGTTAATGGTAATAAAAAAAATAATAATAATTATATATGTATACATATGATATATAGACATATTATATCTATATAATATATGTCTATATATCATATATATATAATGTCATACTAAGTGTATTTTTATATTAATATGTACTTATATTAATATAAAATACACTTATAATTAAATTACACACGTATATATATAATATATATAATAACTATATATATTGTATATATATATTATTATAAAATATAAATAATAAGTAATTTAAATTAAATAAAAATTTTTTAAAATAATAAAAAAATTTAAAAAAATTATATAGCTATATGAAATTTTATTCTAACTGTATTTTAAAATTAATATATATATATTTATATCAAAATACACTTAGAATGAATTTGTATATATATCTATGTATATAAAAATAAATAAAAATAATAAGAAATATACATACGTCCATATACAAAATTACATAAATAATTATATAAATATACACGTAGACTTCAAATATATAAATATGCATATATATTTAAATTCTACGTGCGTATTTATGTAATATTTTTACATAATTCAGTAATTTTATTGATTGCAATTTGAGGGACCTGCCTGCCAACCCAGGCCGAAATTCCAGAGAATTTAATTTGTTAGCACTGTATTTTACCCTGTAACGTTCTACGACACCCTAAAACCTGTACATGGGGGGTACTGTTTTACTCGGGAGACTTCGCTGAACACAAATATTAGTGATTCAAAACAGTAAAACATATCACAGCGATGATATTGTCAGTGAAAGTTACTTTTTTTGCATTTTTCACACACAAACAGCACTTTTACTGATGATATAATTGTTGTGATACGTTTTCCAGTTTTTAAACACTAATATTTGTGTTCAGCGATGTCTCCCGAGTAAAACAGTACCCCCCATGTACAGGTTTTATAGCATTTTTGAAAGTTACAAGGTCAAATATATGGGTCAAATATTTTACATTGAAAATGGCCAGGTTGGTTACGTTGCCTTTGAGAGCGTATGGTAGCCCAGGAATGAGAATTACCCCATGATGGCATACCATTTGCAAAAGAAGACAACCCAAGGTATTGCAAATGGGGTATGTCCAGTCTTTTTTAGTAACCACTTAGTCACAAACACTGGCCAAAATTAGCGTTCAATTTAGTTTTTTTACTTTTTTCACACACAAACAAATATGAATGCTTACTTTGGCCAGTGTTTTCGACTAAGTGGCTACTAAAAAAGACTGGACATACCCCATATTGAATACCCTGGGTTGTCTACTTTAAAAAAAATATGTACATGTGGGGTGTTATTCAGAGATTTATGACAGATAATAGTGTTACAATGTCACTATTGATAAATTTTAAAAATGTATGTTTTTAAACCGCAATATCCTACTTGTACCTATAGCCCTATAACATGCAAAAAAAAGCAAAAAAGCACGTAAACACTAGGTATTTTTAAACTCAGGACAAAATTTTGAATCTATTTAGCAGTTCTTTTCATTCGCTTTTGTAGATGAGTAAAAGATTTTTCAAGTAAAAGTCAAAAACATGTATTTTTTTCAATTTTTCATCAGATTTTTGTATTTTTTTTAAATTAAAATACATGAGATTATATAAATAATGGTATGTAAAGAAAGCCCATTTTGTCCTGAAAAAAACAATATATAATTTGTATGGGAACAGTAAATGAGAAAGCGGAAAATTACAGCCAAACACAAACACCACAAAAGTGTAAAAATATTCCTGGTCGCAAATGTACAACATCGCAAAAACAGTCCAGTCCTTAAGGGGTTAAGTATGAATTAGTGGCTGATCAGCCTGTGTGTGCATGGGGCTTCTTATTTATGCCCATCATCTACTTTTAAAGAGTCCTCAGTGCGGAGCACTCTAGCGGAATACTTCAACACAGAGACTGATTTAACACAGAGTGTAATTGAAGAGTGCTGCAATGATGAAGGCTGCTGGCTCTGTGCACTGTACTAAAAGCTTTACATATGATAAATCTGCAGTGATAAGAGTGAGATTAGAAAACTCTGGAATATTTGATAGCAGGACCTCAGTAACAGATTTTATAAATATATAGTTAGACAAAATAATAGGATATCCCACACAGTGGAAGCACAGCCATACACTAGCCATCATCAAAATATGATCTCAATTTACCTCTGTAGCAGATGAATGTTTGGTAAAGGAATGAATATATTTATAAACAATACAAAGTCTTTATCGGGTTCACTCTCGGGCTTGGGGCCCTCACTCTGTATTGCATTTAATTGAAAAGAATAAGTAGGCCTTTAAAGGTGGATTAAAAAGCATTTTAGGAATAAATTAAACTATTTAACCTACATTATACAGAATAAAGATTACAGTGCTATCATTTAGACCACGACTGCTCAACACTGGAAAAATATTTGAATAGTGCTTTGGCTATCTTGTGTGTTTGTGTTGTGAAAGTTATTTTGTAAATTAGTCATCTAATCATATTCTTTTTAAAAAAATAAAATCACTTTAAAAAAAAAATAAAAAAAAACACTTTCTATGCAAAAAATGTAGAAAAAAAACAAAAAAACACAGACACAAAATCAATAATAAATGGGATGTGCCTGCCTGACAACACCAACAAAAAAAACCCCACAAACAAAAGAAATGAGGTAAAGGCAGAAAAAGCTGACACCATTATGAACCTCGCCCAACGCGTCTGGATCCTAGGTTAGTTTAAGGAAACTCTGACATTCACAAAACATGTGGGGGACAAGGTCACCAATAGGTAGTGATACAAAGAAAGAAACAAAAAAAAAACCAAGATGTTCTCATTGCAATTTTTCACAGCATGGTTATTATACATAAGTGCAGCGTCCATGGCTCTCAAAAGTATATATACTAAATGTGTTAGTTATTCAAAATAACCCATTATTTATTACTTTATAGAATATTTGATTAGCCGATTTTAAATCCTCTCCCCGATCCCTGCGTGTTAAAGGAACTGTAACAGCTTGATCCTATCCCCCTTTGTGTCAAGCCTTGATATGCTTCAATTTGGAGTTAATTCTAAATTTAGTACATTCATTTAACTTTTATAACATGATCAAGCTCTCCAAATTGTTGTACTCCCTGCATCATTTAGGGACTAGTTATAGTTCAAACTCTAAATAATCACATTTAGCTAACCCATCACACATGTAACAGAAACTGCTAACGAAGTATATGGCTCTATCAAATAGAAAGTGTATATGTGTGTGTGTAAAGACATCATAATACATCAGACTGAATAAACAAATAGTTTATCTAGCATTCTGACTTAAAGTAATTGATACACAAATGGTACCCTGAATGGGAATTAATCTGCGGTTCTTGAGCCTACTTCAGGTCGTCAATGCTGCTTTCAGGTTAGCGGGTATGCAAATAATCCATATGTGCGCGATAAGATGTCTATGTCGATGCACACGCATTGGTGATGCACAAATGGAGAAGAAGCCCAAAACCACGAACGTTTCACAGAACCAATATTGTAGTCTCCAGGAGTAGGTTTCTAGGCTTGAAGAGAAGTGCCCTCTGAACCCTGCATTCATTTAGAACTCATCCTGCAGTGGCTAATACCCTTGAGTGACCTATAGAATGTCATATTTTCTATAGAATGCCATGACCAAATCGACCCAGTGCGGTTTGCTCACCATCCAAACCCCCCACCAGCACAAAAAAAACCAAAACCCAGACGAGATCACGAGTATACCGAGTGCCTCTGTTCACCAGAAGAGTTCCTAATCTTACCTCAGTTGAAACCAACCTTTTCCCTACATTTATAAACCTTGAGAGTGATTCAAGAATATGGCACAATGTTTATGTTTATATTAAGAAAAGAAAACCAAAACACTATCTATGTAGCAATTACTTTGCTTTTAGTTACACTGAAACATGCATTTGGATATAGCCAACAGCTTCTGGATAATTAATCTTTAGCACAGGAAGCACAAAATCAAAACTATTCAGGATAACATCACCAATTAGAAATGAAAGCATCCTGCAATTTGTCACTATTGGTTAATTTACCAAAGGAAGTTAATTAAAATTACTGAATGCCAATAGGATGTAGTGCAGTTTTATCAGCATGCTTAAAAGCTTCTCATGTGAGGATTGTGTGCAACCCAGAAATATTACACCATACTTTTCATTATTTTCTAACAGTTTATATACCTAATGCACCATCAGCTTATTATACAAAGGTTCTACCATTCGGAGGATAAAACAACAAATGCTGTTTTTATGGGATTTTCAACTACATCACTGATAGAAGTTTACAGATAGCCAAATACATTGATAATGATTATAGGCAACAGGTTTGTATTTAAAGGAACACTATAGGGTCAGAAACACGAACATGTATTTCTGACCCTATAGTGTTATGGCACAATCTAGCCCCCCTGCCCTCCTAAATATAGTAAAATCTTACCTTTATTCCAGTTTGCTGGTGCTGGCGCTGCCTCTGATCTGCCTCCTTGGCTGATCATCAGAAGTGATCTCAGCCAATCACAATGCTTTCCATAGGAAGCACCTCTAGTGGCCATCTGAGATATGGTCACTGGAGGTGTCCCTAGGCTGTAATGTAAACCCTGCCTTTTCTTTGAAATGATCATGTTTATAGAAAAAAGCCTTCAGGGACTCACTAGATTTACCAGAACAACTACATTAAGCTGTAGTTGTTCTAGTGACTATAGGTCTTTTTTAACCTATAACGTTAATATTGCTTGTACACGATTTATCCTCGAGGGGTACAAGGCCTCAAACCTACTTATCTCCCCTATGTTTCGCTGCACAATGTTATTTACGGACATATGGTCAGACCCATTTCTGTCCTGTGCCCGAATCCATGCCCATCATTCTTACAATATCAACTGGCTCAGTTCGCCACTTCTGCACACAACATGACCACGCTCGCGGAACACACCCCCTTCGAGAAATGGTGTTCTCAACCTAACACCCATACACTTTCATTGTCAAAGGTTTATTCCCACTTACAAGCAAATACAAATACCATACTTCCCAGTTTTACAGCAGTGTGGGAGAGGGAGTTGGGCCTCCCCTTCACTCCCACAGACTGTGATAAAATGTTCCACCATGATCATAGAAATACCATGGACATCCCTACGATAGAGATGAACTACAAAACTATTGCCAGATGGTATCGTAGTCCGGAACACCTGCATACCGTTTTCCCCCAGGTACCTGAGAAATGCTGGAGGTGCAGGGAGGGGAGAGGATATGTATGATAATGATATTGACAGCATCGAAACTCTCAAACAAAATGAAACAAAAAAAAAAAAAAGATTCAAATTAAAAAAAATATATACTTGTTTGTTCAGCTAAAATAAATAAATACATACAGTAATTTCCATCACATCTAGGGCATTTTGGGCACATGGCATCAGAGAGTACAAAGATACATTTCTAGTTTACTGAATGCTGAAAACCTTCTAGCAGACAGCAGGTCTAGCAGTGGATAGGATAAGGAAAAGAGAAAAGTGACAGTCAGAGGTTTCTTGTCTGTCCAGGTATAATGGAAAAACCAAGAAGAAAATTAAGATGCACAAGACAAGCTTAAGTCATGTCACAAGAGATACTCTTAGTCAAAAATACTAGCCAAAGGTAGTCATAAACGCCAAGATCAAATAAAAATGCATAAATAAAAAATATTTCGAAAAGCATTTGCGTTGTACTGAAAACCACATAAGGGCACTGGAGGAATGCCTTAGTAGGCTGTTAAGAATTTGGTGGCAGTACAGAAAATTCTCAAGAGCATTGCAATTAGCAGTCCTGATGTATCAAATATGAACTGAGAACAAGCCAAGTCTAGGAAGCTCCTGCCATTAAATGGGGATGACATTATCTGCTCACTGCAGTCTTTTTTTTTTTTTAAATGGTATGAGTCACCATCACCAAGTGTTCAAAAATCGTGATGCAATCCCAAAATGGCCACAGCCTCAATGTTACACTGATAGATCTTCTGCTAAACTTTTTTCTGCTTGGTGAGATAAAAATATTAGCAAATTAGTCATTGGAAAAAAAACTTTTTGGAGATAAATAAATTGAAAAAAAAATTCAGCCTGGAATAAAATACTTAATCAACATGCAAAGCTGTTCATTTGTAAGAAAAAAAAAAAAAAAAAACAAACACACAAATGAAAATATTTTTCTCTTTGCATGGGATTTAAAATATCCCCAAGAGCTGCAGTTTGATCATCTGCTGGGAAAATTAAGTTTTGTATATGACCTGCTGCTTGGCATAGCATTTTACTGTTCCAATCATCCTATATGTAGTGATTAAAGTAGAAAACAAACAAAAAAAATTTTTATTTTTTTTTAAAGTTTCACAACTGCCCCATTTTTGCCAGGACAGTCCAATGTTTGTAGCTTCCGTCCTGGGACCTGTCCTGCGTTACCGGGCAACCAGACCTTTTCCCCCATGTAGCCACACTCTGGCCGCTGCCGAGAGGGAGCTATTATATATACAAAAAGATGTAGGAGGCAGGTCCCAGCATCTCCTACACATCCTACAAAGCACTGTTATGGGGGCAAAGGTAAGAGGATCCTCTGTAGGGACAATATACATTTCCACCATGTGCAGTAATGAGACTTCTTTGTCACATTCTAGTAGACACTTTTTTTTCAGTACAGTGTATCATGCAGTCAGAAGAGGAGTGTTGATCCCATGCAGTGAAGTTACTTTGCAAAGGGGAAGTTTGAATGCCTGCTACTAAAAATCAATAATGCAGTTACTGGAGATCATAGGATTTATTTCAAATGAACACATTTTGAATAAGGGTAGTTCATTACAAAGTACGGGCACAGCCTTAATGAAAGATAAACTGAGGCAGACAAGAGTACTATAAATGGAAAACTTCTTTATGGGTGGGGTACTTGGCGGAAAGGGAGGAAGATTGCTTGCATCATGGATCAATGAAATCATGTCACACTTGTGCAAAACAGCCATTCCTTGCTGTATATGGTACAGTCATTTTACACCAATTGTAATGTGTAATCAGCATGACAATACCATTTGTACCAATCCAGAATCTGTTAGGAATGTGCATATTACTGCTAGGTTTGTTCCGCCTCGGTTTCTTTTAAAATTACGGCGCTGGAATTCTAACTCAGCAGTTTTAACAAAGACAAAGTAAGGACCTATTTTATCCCATGTGTGACCTGAGTTTTGGCAAAATGAGCCAATAGGTGGAAATCCACTGCAGAGGGGTGCAATCATCCATGGAAGATACCTATTGCAATAGCGATTTCAAGAAATGAAATCACTAAGATTCCTGAATAGAGAAAAATGGCTAAATTGAGGAGCAGTAATGTTTGCCACCATATTCTCCTCTTGGTCGCTAACCATATTTTGAATTCTAGTTGTCCAAAGACAGTAGGAAGAACCAGAATAGGTATTTGTTTTGGAAACATTATTTAAATGCAAATGTCTTGGAAATTATAAAACATGGCAATGAACAAGAAACAAAGAATATGTTCAAGGGACACTATATTCACCAGAACAACGACATTTTAATGTAGTTGTTCTGTTGAGTATAAGCATTGCCTTCAGGCATTTTCATGCAAACATTGTCTTTTCATTTACATTGCTCCTAGGGACACCTCCAATTGGTCACTCCTCAGATGGCCACTGAAGGTGCTTCCTGGCGCAGTGCTGCACAGTAGGCAGCCCTGCCGTTCAGAGAGTGGAGACGCTTAATTTACCTTATAGAGATGCATTGATTCAATGCAACTCTATGAGGAGGTGCTGATTGGTCAAAATGGCGCTTGGCCCCACCCCCTTGCCGATTTTAGCTAAAAATCGGCAATTCTGATGATGTAACCAAGGTGGCAGTTTTAACCATTCTGAGGAGGCTAAGGGGGCAAGCCACATAAATGGTGGATTTTCACTTTAGGGTCAGGAATACATGTTTGTTTTCCTGACCCTATAGTGTTCCTTTCACATCTGAATTAAAATATTCGCAGATGTATATTATATATATATATTTTTTATTTTTTTTTAATAGTATTTTAGATTTAATAGTTTTAACTTACAAGAAACAAGATATATCTGAAAAAAAAAATTCTGACCATCTAACCCAGTGGTAGGCAACCTGGTCCCTACCGTCCACTAGTGGGCAATTCAAGCTTTCATGGTGGTCAGTGGCAGATAATGACTGGCCAGGTGGGTACAGGTAGAGGGTTATTAGTTTCTCTCCTGTCTCTAGATTGCTACGTCTCGGATCTTTGGCTCCTTAAAACCCGCCCAGGTATGCTTCAGTGACATAACTTCACAAGCCCGTAATGTCACAATGGAACATTATAAAGAAAGCAGAAAGCTACCGGGCAACACGACCACATGCTCTGCGCAGGCGCGTACCTCACTCCAGCCATCCAGAGACACCTCACAAAAATGCACAACACGCCTCTGTTTGCTAAATCTTTCTTGGTGCGAAAACAGGGACAGTTAGAAGCATGGCATTTAGGTGATATTGAACATTGGCAAGTTCTGTTATTTTCCTTCTGCAAGCTAAGTTATTTTCTGTTTACTTGGTTTTCTTAACATAAAATAAAAGAAAGAAGGAAAAGAAAAAGTAGTAAAGGAAGGAGATAATCAGCGGCGTAACTAGGAATGACAGGGCCCTGGTGCAAGAATCATAGAAAGACCCCTTTACTCTTTCACGGATACACATACACGAACACACAAATTGGTCAACCAACACACATTTCCAACGACAGGCGCACTTTGATTTGACACAGATACACTTACTAACAGACACAGTAACTCACTGATACATACACTGATTAGACTGACACACACTAATTTGACAGACACATACATTGATTTGACAGATACACTAGTATAGTTTTGTTTTTTTAAAGGACCACTATAGTGCCAGGAAAACATACTCGTTTTCCTGGCACTATAGTGCCCTGAGGGTGCCCCCACCCTCAGGGACCCCCTCCCGCCTGGCTCTGGAAAGGGGAAAGGGGTTAAAACTTGCCTTTTTCCAGCGCTGGGCGGAGAGCTCTCCTCCTCCTCCTCCCGGCTGACAAGACTACAGTACAGGCCAAAGGCTTAGCCCCAAGAAAATGCATAGGAAAGCATTATCAATGCTTTCCTATGGACGCTTGCGTGCTCTCACTGTGAAAATCACAGTGAGAAGCACGCAAGCGCCTCTAGTGGCTGTCAATGAGACAGCCACTAGAGGATTAGGGGGGAAGGCTTAACCCATTAATAAACATAGCAGTTTCTCTGAAACTGCTATGTTTATAAAAAAATGGGTTAACCCTAGCTGGACCTGGCACCCAGACCACTTCATTAAGCTGAAGTGGTCTGGGTGCCTAGAGTGGTCCTTTAAAGCCACCTAGCCTCAAATACCACACCTCAGTGTATACATTTCAATATCAGCAGTACAGGGTATAGGGTATAATAGTAGCAGTAAAGGGTATATTTTGAATTTTATAATTCAAATAGGTTTAACAATTACACCCAGGAGTAATGACCTGCAGCCGGGATTATTCTGCGTCCACCGTCCGTCAATTACTGCCAACCAAACCACATGCCCCTCAGGCACCACTCTCCGCCAGTGAGGACAGGGATAGAGCGCAGCCTGAGAGGAAAGGGGTGAGGTTAGAATGCAGCCTAAGAGGAAAGGATAGGGATAGAACGAAGCCTGGGAGGAAAGGAGCAGGGATAAAATTAAAGCCAGCAACTAAATGGGTGGGGAAGGAACTTGCAAACTAGGAATGGATGGGGTTACAACACAAACTGCGCTCAAAGGGACAGGGACCAAACCCAATGATCTCCACCGCTAAAACAAAAAACCCCAAAGGCATGGTCTCTTGTTTGACGGACATTCCTTAAATATTGGGGAAGCCATGGCTAGTTGCCAAGGAGACTGCAGGATGTGTTGCCGCTAGACAGAATATGCATCAGTGGTGGTCAGACAGGGCAGCCGGGCCCCCTGGAGTGATGGGCCCGGTCGCAACTTCGGTAGGTATGCCGCTGGAGATAAAGAGAAAGGAAAAACAGACCCCTGATATGCCTTTTTTCTGTTTTATGGTTTGTTGTTGGCTAAAAATAAAAGTGTGCTACCTATTTCAACCTTCCTGCTGATGATTGCAATAAGGTAGGTGAAAAGAAAAATATAATAGAAAAGAGGAACTTCTTTTTTTGATGACGCATAATAAAATTGGCCACCTAGTACAGCATTGTTGTTGCTGTGCATTTTTTTTTTTTTTTTAAAACAAGCTTTTCTAAAAATTCACACAGGGGCAGTAAGGAAATGTTACCATCAAAATACATAAGTGGGCGGTAGGTATTAAAAGGCCGACTACCCCTGATCTAAAAACTGGTAGTACTTACATATGGAATTAATAAAAAAATTAAAAAAAACTTGAGACAATGAAGGGTATTTTTGCTAGAGTGGGCTATAGATGGGGAAGCTGCAAAGAAAAAAAATGTAAAGAAAGTTTGGAGGGGGTGGGGGGGACCACACACAATATGAATAGTAAATAATTGAGAAGGTGGTTTACCTGAGCCTCTCTAACAAGAAAATGTAAACTAGGCAAATCGACATTAACACACATTTTAATGCATGCAAAAACAGCTGATCGTTCAATACCATGTTTCAAGGTTTTGGCCCATAAAAGGTTAAACATGCACTCCTAGAGTGCTGCTTTAATAAGTAGTTGCTAGATACAATACCTGATTTAATAATTTGAAAAATTCTATGACAATGTTTTGCTTTGGGAATTTGTTTAATTTTTTTTATTTTTTTAAACTAATCACGTTTGGCTTATTTTTCATTTTCCATATAGTGTCAATATTTGTTTAGTATAATCCTACCAGGAAGGAATCAATATACAATGGCACATTCTACAACATATCTATATATGACAATAGTGCACTTTAATGTGCCAAGATCCATTGTTCTGGGGTTCCCACATTCAGCTAACCTTCATATCACACCCTGGATTCTCGGACATCCCCGCCCCCTTACATCCTGTGTGAGCAGCACAGAGCAGGCCAACATATATCCAGTAACATCTGTCTCCTTTGGCCTGGGATGCAGAAAGCAGCTTTGGGATCTGTCCCTCATTAGGCTCCAGATGCCCCTTTATCCTGCGTATCTCTTGAGACCAAAAGACAGCTCTTCGATGATGTGGAATTAACACATGTGGAAGTCCCCAGGAGCCATTATTTAAACAACTTAGAACTAAAATTACGGTTTCAATAATGAGCTGAATGCAACACTCACAAAAATATATAAAATATTAGTATACAATACCAACATATTCTGAGGCACTGTACACTGGCATATAACCAAACCTGCTTTGGCAGACAAGGTATGGCAAAAAAAAGCTAATAGGTAAAAAGAGCTCTGCTCGAGTGAGCTTACAATCTAAGGTATAGCATTGAGATCTATCAACGGGATATTTAGAAAGTGAGTGATATATTAACGCGGCACAATCTGACATTTTTATAGGGGTTGTGATATTAAATTAATAGAAAGGGGATAGGTCTGTTTTTACAGCTGTGTTTGTAATGGTTTTGGCAAGTATAAACTTGACTAGCTGTATATACACATTATCTGTCTTTAACACCGTTAACCTACACAAAATAAACAAGAGTAAGGCAAGTATTGAGTCTCAAGCTGCTTCCTTCTACCCCCTGCCTTCAATCCCCTCTTTAGGAAGCCCCCAGATATGCCATTGTCTGTACTCCATCAAATGAGTTTATACTCATGGGAAGATGCAAATAAACTTGTGCGTAAAATCCTAACAGAACGTTTCCCAAGGCATGCATCACGAAGCTTTTCTCACACAAATAATTTGCTCTTAAAATAGCAAAACGTCAATGAGAACCACAAGGCAGGATCTCTTACTAATCAAGTCCCATGATCCCTTAGGAACATGTCACGGTACAAAGACGATGTCTCTTTTTCAGGCTCACACACTTCACGGAAAAAAAGGTTATGAAAAAAACCTAAATATTTTATTTTATTCAAAAACACATATATAGTATATAAACACACACACGACAGACTTACAGAAACAGAATGGGTATACACACACACACATTTTGTAAGAAGTTTGTCAAGATACCGGCACTGTGTGGAGATTTCTTTATAGACAACATCATAAAATCGCAAACATACCCAGTGTGCAGGAGGTCCCCTGGTTAATGGAATAACCCTTAATATGGAGGTTGTCCTTATAGCTAATGCTATATGCTACAAGAGTTTTAAAGATGAAGGGTTTGTGTAAAGAACTTTGGTCACTGAAGAAAGGTCTGAGGGAGGCCATATTTTAATAGGACATCATGCATATATTGCTCGTGTAATCTATTGAAGGCTTTCTCAGTGTCAAAAGCTAGAAAGAGACAAGGCATCCCATCAATACAAAAATTATGGATAATATTAATGAATGTCCAGGTGCTGTCTGCGGGTTGTCTTGAGGAAACAAAGCCCACCTGTTCAATATGCAGTAGGTGTGGAAGAGTGAAGCTAGTTTATTTGCCAGCGCTTTTGCATAAATTTTGCTATGTACATTTAGTAGAGAAATTGGGCAAAAGGTTTGGCATAATATGGTTTCTTTTCTTGTTTAGTTAGTGTCACTATATGAGCACAGGTGACTTCTTCTGGAGCTAACTCTTCTGTAAGGATGTGATTGCAGCCTGATGTAAGGTTTGGGACTCGCTTCTTGGAGAAAGTTTTATAATAAAGCGCTGCAGAATAAGATGGCGCTATATAAATAAAAACCAATAATAATAATAATAATAACAATAATAAAGGCTGGAAATTTAAATTTCTTCCTCTTGTGATTTCACCCTCTAGTCCAGTGTTTCTGTGTCTCACAAACGTGTAAAGTGGTTTAGCTTGTTTAAGAGGGAGAGAAAGTTTTCTTGTGCAAGGATCCCTATGGAGATTGGAGAGGCAGAAGTAGAAGGAGGCAAACTCCTCTGTCATCCTGGCTGTGTTGAGGTTCCTCTGCCCATCTTTAGCAAGGAGGTATGCTGTGGTGCCTGATACTCTAAGAGCTTGTTTGCTAACCATTTGCCTGTTTTGTTAGCCTGTGCAGAGTGTTTGTTTTAACCAACGAAGGCCTCCATACTCAGCCTCTAGTGGCATACTGTTCAAACAAAAACAAAGATAGGAGCGTGGTCCGACCATGATGCATTGACTATGGAGCAGCGAATAACCTGTTGCAATGTACCCGTGTCCACCAAAATGTAATTAACGCAAGAGTGGCTAGGATGCCTGGAGGAATAAAATGTACAATCTTTCCAGACATACTACCACACAGAAATGCCATATCCTGGACACCCAGTCACTCTGCACTTTCAAATTACTGTGCTGAGAAAAGGCATGTGGCTGTAGATGTATCCACAGGTAAGTTAAAATCTGCACATATAATCAATTTATTATGATCCTGTTCTTAAATCATTTGAATTGATCTAGTAAAGAAGGGTAATTAGGTAGTTAAGGCAATCGTGTAAGTCACATTATTTAGAATTAATTACCTTTGCTGTCTTTTGAACAGTAATTGGAACACTACACTTTTGTGAATAAGTACCGTCACTTAAAAAAAAAAAAAAGTTTAAACACAACCTGTATTAGTTTAACAATTTTGTTGCCATCAGTACATTGAACACTTCACATTTAACAATGCACTAAGCCATGAATAGAATAACAGTGCTGTCAAAGTCTGTAGTAACAGGATGTCACTCAGCCATGACCAATAGTTTCAGTGCCACAGGGGAGGAGCTTTCCAATGACCCTGATGTTCAAGTACAATCCACTATCCTATTTGAGGTCAGGGAAAATCCATTGTGTGTCCTATAAGGCAGAAACGATTCCATAGGAGAGACTAAACCATCAAACATGACAAACAGAGCAGAGCACGCTATCTGTAAAATAGAAAGCGTATTGCTGCACATATTTAATAGTGGCCTCAACTTTTTTCATGTCATGCAAGTGAATAGAAAAATAAAAAATAAAATGTTAGATTATAGAAAATATGTAAGAGTGCATTGCACCTAAATAATTCTTTACACTTTTCTGTTATTTCCTTCTCATGCGTCCCCTTCCCTTTTGCCTGGCCAGACTGAGAATGAAAAGCTACCCTATAATGCACTGCCAGTGTAGTGCATGGAATCAGAGTGCATAGAAGACTATGCAGAGAGTGCTAATGATGCACTCACGCTGGGCTAACCAAAAGACAGTTTCCTAGTCTCCCAACATGGTGGACAAGCAGGGAAATAAAGCCTGGACGGTGTGACAGTACCCTAAAATTGGTACTATGCTACAAAATGTGGGAAAGTTGAGAGACTTGATTGGGAACAGTTACAAAGCTGGAAAAGAAATTGAAATTAATTCTCTAATATGATAGAGTGCACTCATAGGACTTAAAAATAAGCAAATAACTGATTTATTGTAAGAACATGTGTCAGTGTTTCAGCCCTATTACTATGACGCCTTAAGTGGACTGAGTAGTTGACTGTATGTGTTTGCACATCTGCTTAAAATAAAGATGATATTTTGTTTATTGTTAAGTCCTTTAAGTGCATTTTTTCTTATGCAATATATTACAGTGTTGGAGTTTGGCACCCAGTAAAAACAGACCAGGAGGCAGGGTTATTTACTAAACTCAAATTTGTGTAAATAAAAAATAGATTAGGAAATTTAAGCTAAAACAGCCATGCTGAGGCTATTGCTGTCTTGTTTAAAAAAAAAAATAAAAAAAATATTGAGGCCAGCTGTATTGGCCTTAAAGGGACAGTTTAGGCACAATAGCAACGTCATCTAAATGAAGAAGTTATGTTGCCAGGAATCACCCAAGGCCACATGAGGCAGACCTCCCCTCACTTAGTATACTACGGAGTTGAAACAATATGTTCACAAACAAGTGGTTCACAAACAAGTGGTGCCTGAGTCTTTTTGGGTTGGGGTAAAGGTTTTACATATGCCAAAAGGACGACAAGTCTCAGCTGATGTTTGGCAGCAATAGAGTGGCTATAATTACTTCTAAGCTCTAAAAATAGGTTAAAAGGCAGAAATGCCTAGTGCCAGGATTAAAACCCCAAATCTCCAGGTTTTGTTTGGGAAGCACGTTAAAACAAGAGGCATCCCTTGATCACCCAGGCAAAAATATATGTTGGGTCCCCTACTCCCCACCTTCCGAATTTTAATTTTCGCTTTGTGTGTATCTCATAACAACCCCCCACCCCCCTTTCAAACCTTTGTGTTTATTAAGCTATTTCACCTTGTGTGTATCCTGAGCCCCCTTACCACTTGTCTGTTTCTTAAACGCGCTTGCCATTTTATTTTGGCTGTTATCTAGCAGCATATAAACCCACCCCCACTATTTGTATCAGTATTGCAGCTCCCTCCTTGCTAGACCTTGGTAGAGGATTCTAAAATATTCTAAAATAGTCCCACCCGGCTCTGCTATAAATAGCGGCGGTGCTGTGTGCACCCTCTCCTGCTGGTCACATGAGGCAGACCTCCCCTCGCTTAGTATGCTACGGAGTTGAAACAATATGTGTTGGCTCCATTTCAACAGTCTGAAATGGAAATGAAGATATCAAGAAGCCCAAATTTCCAAAATAAGGAATTGATAGGGGAAAACCACACTGCAGCTTTTCAGTTTCTAGTAGACTAGGACAACCATTAATGCCAACTTCTAGTGATTTTTTGATTATTAGAGAATTTTAATTCTAACCCCTTTCTACCCACATCATCATGCCAATCTTAAATGCAGATTGAGTCAAAAGGTTTTTCCCCCCTGAGCCCTACTGAAGGAAATTACTTTTCAGATTGCAGAAATGATAAAGTTACTTCCCAATTTTATTACCTGCATGTAAAGGTAATGGAGAGGTCAGAACACTCAATTTCTTTACAGTACTCCAAAACATTTATTCCCACTATTGTTTGCTTATTGCCTTTACTTTGTGCAATATACTATCAAGGTTTTAAATCAAATTTGCATCCAGTTTGCAAAACATTCATCATTAATCTTCAAGCCTGCACAATCCAACAATATAGGAAATGCATCATACACCCATGACAGGCATGATATACTATAATAAATCAAACCCTGTACACAATAAATAAAGTATGATTATGATAAGAATTGTATCATATTATCATACAATGTCAGCACTAATAAGTATTCAGTATTGCACCATGTTGCACAGACACAGAGGTGTTATTGAGCCAGTTTTATTTTGTGTTTGTACCTGCAGAGTATTCTCCAAAATGGAAATAGTCGGGAAATCAAAGTGAACTTCAAACATCAAGCCAAAATAGCCAAACCGAAAACATAGCAGACTTTAATTATATCAAATTCAGCTATTGTGGCCTAATTCACTACGATTCCATGAATATTAACATTCTGAGTGGGAGCAAACAGGTTTATTCACTATGGTGTATAATTATATATATATATGGATGCCCTTCATTGAAGTGAACTGTCCCACTCCCCTTAACCATGCAATGTTTGCCGTTTCAGAGAAAATTTAATCGTATCATTAAAGGCTTGAGACTGCCTCTAGTGGCTGTCTACCAGACAGCCACTAGAGACGCTTCCTGGAGTTTCACAGTTTGAACTCTGTGAAATGAACCTAGACGTCACTCTGTGCATTGCAAAACCCTATTGGGGGGCAGACGATCGCTTTAAGGCAGAGGGACACTATAGTGTCCTAATACTATAATGTTCCTCTAAGGCATTGCTAGTAGCTTAGGACTTGAAATTAAGATATCTAGATATCATGTTTTTGTTTCTTTTTACAGACAGATAACTAGTTTGTAGTTTTTTTTCCCCAATGGTATTATTTTCCCTCAGGCCATAGTCATCATTGTTCTTCCAATACTGGTACGTAGTAAAAAGGTGGGTTGCATAATATTTTGGTTATGGAAGGCACGCTGCTCTTCAACTTTAATATTTTGGCCAATGTATCCTTTAGCATCCAATAGTTTTTGATCTATACAGTTTAAAAAGGCTATTCATAAAGCGCCACAATATATTGCAGAAATGGTATGATACACCTTCAAAAGAAAGTAATTATAAAGTCGTGAATCACGTGCAAAGCATTCTATAGGTACAATCAATACCCTTTCCGTCTGAAAATGGGAGACTATACAAGTAGAATGGAAAGTGTCAGTCAGATCTTGAGTAACTGCATCAAAATCGATTACTCACTCTTATTGCTCATCTAAAAGTACCAGGATATTATTAGTTATTAGTATAAAAGAATAATAGGCTTTTTCCGATTCATCTATTTTGAACTAAAATACGCAATCCACTTTGAATTCTCACTTTAGTGAACAACCCTTTAAGTGTAAGGGAAGAAATTTTGATCTTGTGAACTACCATGCCGTATACAGACTCCTAGTGGAATCTAGAAATGGACGTGTGGTTTTCCTTGCGCAACACATTGTCTCTAGAGATATGCAGTCATATAGGAAATATCCAAAGCATTGCTTCTTCATTTTAACAAAAACAAGCATGGAACGGATTTCAATAGATTTTTTTTATCACACACACTTTCAATAACTTTGGAAGTAATCTAGCATTATTTGTTATTCAGACACCATACTACAGACACTGCATATTTATCAATTAGAGGGGCCATTGAAGGGACAGGTCCGTCCCGAGCATGCAGCCCAGTGGTTACATACTAAATGCACGACGCAAGTGAGAGCAGCCGAACAGTGATACATGCAAGCAACTATAGGAGTATTAACTTTGCCAATACAGTCCTCTCTACATTTGGAGCACATCCTGGTTTCCAGACATTAAACATCTTGCTGCTATTGAATAACTCCTGGGTGCCAATCCTCAATTGGTGAGATCCAACCAACTCTTCATGACATATACAGTGAACGTTCAATTATCAGGATTTTTTCTTAATTTTTCTTGCATCTTTGTTTCTCTCTCTTTTATTTTATTTTTTAGCTTTTTTTTTTCATTTTTTTCAATTTTCTACATACATTTTTTCAACTAAAGAGAATTATTAAGTGGTGGATCCACCTGAACATTTATAAACTTACAAACTCCATATAGGTTGTATCTATTGACTGTATATAGTTGTACATATCCTTGAATGTATATACTATGAATTTTGTTAACTGTACCATAGATGAATTGATAAGGAGATCACCGGAATACAATAGTGATTAACTTGTGTACCATAGATGAATTGATAAATACAGTAGTGATTTACTTGAAGTTCATGAATTGGTTTTATATAAATAATGTACAATAAATTAATTTATTTTTTGCATATTGAATAGCGACTCTCTCCTTTTTATGCATAAGAGTGTGGTATTAAATTAATGGATTTTTGTATTTATCAGTTATACAGACTAAGCACTCATAAAAATACATTTCTAAATTCTATAAGGCTACTTAAAGCGGCAGTGTCATGCCGAATTTACCTTTCTTTAATTGATTCCTCTTCTCTCCCTCTGTCAGGATCTGTTTTTCATTTCTTCCTGTCTGCTCTAGTTTTCTTTAAAAAATAAGACAAAGTAGGGACTATTTTGTCTTATGGAGGTTTCCTACGCCTGACCAGCTATGACCAGCGGAAGACCAAAGTGTGCTTCTTTTCAAGTGGTCAGAACAATGTTGCCACAATTCTCACCTCTTCTCCATGTTCTCGCGATGCCGCCTTTCACTTTTCCAGAACGTCCTGTCATTTAGACAGAACGTCGGCGAAACTACCGAATTGCGTCCTAACAGAATGAGAACAGTTTCTCCATTCATGTTAGGATGCAATTCGGGACTTTGTTCGGATCGGAGGAAAGGTCAGAATTGTGGTAACATTGCTCTGACCACTGGAAAGGAAGCACACTATGCTCCTCCGCTGGTCATAGCTGGTCAGGCGTAGGAAACCCTACTTTGTCTTATAATTTTAAAGAAAACTAGAGCAGACAGGAAGAAATGAAGAACATATCCTGACAGAGGGAGAGAAGAGGAATCAGTTAAAGAAAGGTAAGTTCGGCATGACAGTGTCGCTTGCCTATCTCGGCAAACAAATACAGGGGGATTCACCCTTAAAAATACATTACTAAATTCTATAAGGCTGAATCCCCCTGTATTTGTTTGCGGAGATAGGCAATTTTAAAGGAACACTATAGTCACCTAAATTACTTTAGCTAAATAAAGCCGTTTTAGTGTATAGATCATTCCCCTGCAATTTCACTGCTCAATTCACTGTCATTTATGAGTTAAATCACTTTGTTTCTGTTTATGCAGCCCCGGCCACACCTCCCCTGGCTATGATTGACAGAGCCTTTCTTTAAAAAAAAACCAAACTGGTTTCACTTTCAAACAGATGTAATTTACCTTAAATAATTGTACCTTAATCTCTAAATTGAACTTTAATCACATACAGGAGGCTCTTGCAGGGTCTAGCAAGCTATTAAAGGACCACTATAGTGCCAGGAAAACATACTCGTTTTCCTGGCACTATAGTGCCCTGAGGGTGCCCCCACCCTCAGGGACCCCCTCCCGCCCGGCTCTGGAAGGAGGAAAGGGTTAAAAACTTACCTTTTTCCAGCGCTGGGCGGGGAGCTCTCTGCCTCCTCTCCTCCTCCGATCCTCCTCCTGGGCTGAATGCGCACGCGCGGCAAGCGCTGCGCGCGCATTCAGCCCGTCGCATAGGAAAGCATTTACAATGCTTTCCTATGGACGCTTGCGTGCTCTCACTGTGAAAATCACAGTGAGAAGCACGCAAGCGCCTCTAGTGGCTGTCAATGAGACAGCCACTAGAGGAAATAGGGGAAGGCTTAACCCATTCATAAACATAGCAGTTTCTCTGAAACTGCTATGTTTATGAAAAAATGGGTTAACCCTAGAAGGACCTGGCACCCAGACCACTTCATTAAGCTGAAGTGGTCTGGGTGCCTAGAGTGGTCCTTTAACATAGCAGGGGATAAGAAAATCTTAATTAAACAGAACTTGCAATAAAGAAAGCCTAAATAGGGCGCTCTTTACAGGAAGTGTTTATGGAAGGCTGTGCAAGTCACATGCAGGGAGGTGTGACTAGGGTTCATAAACAAAGTGATTTAACTCCTAAATGGAGCAGTGAGGCTGCAGGGGCATGTTCTATACACCAAAACTGCTTCATTAAGCTAAAGTTGTGCAGGTGACTATAGTGTTCCTTTATAGAATTTAGAAATGTATTGTTATGAGTGCACTTTTCCTTAACCAATATTATGTATATATTTTGTCACTACGGCAGCACCATTCCTGCAGGATGCATGTTCTGGGTGTGCCACCAATTTCCTTTTGTTCTTGCGGCTATTTATCAAATCAGGATCAAAATGTGGAAGACGCCATTCAAATAGTAAAACAACCTTGGCACTGTAACAGTTAAGTTATGTGGCAGCTGGACAGACTGTCGCTATCTTTTGCCAAAAATCAGTAATTCTCAAATTCGAAAGTGACAAGTTTTATAAAAGACCACAACACCAAATAAAATTACCAAGTTTTAATCAGATTTGTCTTTACTACATGTAAGAGCTGCAAATCTGATTAAAACAGTTTACTTTAATTGATAATTTCTTTTATAACTTTAGGTTCAGTGAATAAAAAATTTTAATGTGTAAATGTTGGTTTGTATTGTAATTAATGGCCTTGTCTAATTTTAAGTTAGCTAATATGATTCCAAGACAACAAACATGATTTTACAGCAAGGGAAAATGTTTTTCAGAGTTATTCACAAAGGACAAAATCTGGTATTATCCACTGAGATTGTGGGCTACCAGTTAAAGCACACACCTACACAGTAGTGGGCTAGCAAAGGTCTGGTACAAAACCTTCCTACTGCTTCACTCTTCACACTTGTAGTACTGTATATCTCCCACCTCAGGCATCCGGTGGAAGGGGAAAGAGAAGGGCAGGCAAGTGACACAGGACCTCCTGGAATGCGGGTCAGCTTGGCAAGAACACATGCCAGGCTGCCTGCCTATCATGTTAGGTTAGCCCGCTGAGGGCAGACCCTGCACGGAGTAATGTTTCAGTTCTGCCTGCAGAGTCCAAGTGATTAGAACATGGCGCAGGCGTGTCTTATGATGTGCTTGCGCTATTCTTATTGAGGACAGTTCCCTGGTGTCTAGTAAGGATAGTGAGACAGGACCCAAAAGTTGGGTCTCTCCCCCGAAATAGGGACGATTGGGAGGCATGGTACATTGCCAACATATGTCCCAACACTCCTCAAGTTGCCCTTAGAGGTATTCCAATGCTGTGGCCAACAACCCTTGTAAGGGCTCCCTGCCCCTTTTGCCACAATTCCCAGTTAAGGAGTTAACAACCATCATTCTTAGCCATGCAGGCTGGTAAAGTTCTTACCACTCCACAGTTTAGAGAATACCTCTGTTATTAGGTTTTGTGTTGAAGTAGATCACAATTTGCTTAGCATGCAATAGTCTAGTAATTATGCTTTCTTTGCACTGTTGACCCAATGTAATCCTGAATGTGTGTTTATAATGGCGTCTGAAACCCATCTAGTAATACTTTACATCTGAACCAATTCTGCAGATTGCTATCCTCCTAGCTACATGGAAGTCTGTGATCTGTTAGCTATGCTGACATAGTCCACACTGCTCTTACCCACCTACTAACCTTTAGTTATTTTTCCTTTGGCTCTAAGCATTAGCGTGGCTGTATGTATTCCCAGAGTTCCAAATTGGCATTGTCTCAAGGAAATTAGGTCTATTAGAAGGTATGCTATAGAATAAATGTGTAAATAATTATTGGTTTAGATCTATAATCAGAGAAATTAGTACACACTTCTACAGATATGTATCTGAGATTTATATGTTTAGTCAAATGTATGTCCGAGTTGAAAGTATCCTTGTAACATTTTGTGGTTTTCCTGTGCAGACATTTGCATGAACGTTTCATACTTAAAAATGGATAAAGCATGCAAATAGAAACCAAAATAGACTAGGGCAAATCCTTTGGACTCAGACATTGAAAGCAGGAGAGGAAATGCAGTTTGATACAATCAATATTGTAAAGGCCTCCAGCTATCCTTTTTAAGTGCACTTCACATGGAAGCATATTGACAAAAGGCAAAAAGCACTTGTTTTTGTTTTATAAGTCTTTCCTCTTGTGTGTGAGAAGGACTTCCTAATGCACCAGTCTGATGGGTTCATATGTAGAAATCTCTGACATCTCTACTGACACACACACTAGAGCCGCTGCGTACACTTAAAGGGATACTACGAATAGTGCCAGAAATACAAAGCTGCATTCCTGGCACTATACCTCCCTTGCACCACCCCACCCCCCACCCCTACGGTGGTAAATAAAAGGTTAAAAACCTTTATTTACTTACACGATCCCAGTGCCGATTTCCCTGATGTTACTGAAGAGGAGGGCTAATGCGCATGCGGGGCAAGTGCCATGTGAATTAGCCCCTCCCAATAGGAATGCATTGAATCAGTGCGGGCAGTGTGTGAGGACGTCCAACGTCCTTTATCGGACCAAACGTCCGTTAACAGTCAGGAAGCGCCTCCAGTGACTGGTAGACAGCTGTGTTAGTTCTTCATTGTAAACCGTTTTACATTGGGACACTGCACCCAGACCACTTCAATGAGCTGAAGTGGTCTGGGTGCCTATAGTGTCCCTTGAAGGATTAGAATAGGTTATTTGAATTGAGGTATTTTCTGTGTATTTTTTTCATAGAGATGTATTGAATAAGTGCATCTTTATGGGTAGCATTCAACACCTCAAGCAGAGTGTAGAGATGCTGAATATTGGTGCTGCACACTGCGCAGCATTGACGCAGGAAGCACCTCTAGTGGCCATGTGAGTGACTGCCACTAGAGGTGTCCCTAGAAACCAATAAAAGCATTGCCTTTTTCTGAAAAGGCAGCATTTACAATTAAAATCCTGCAGTGACATGCTATACTTACCAGAATAACTTCATTAAGCTGAAGTGGTTCCTATTGACTATAGTGTTCCTTTAACTTCTTATGTGGTCTACCAGGTGTCACTCCCTGCCTCTTATTTTGGAGAGCAAGACGCTTTTTTAAGGAGCTTCTGTTAACTCTGCTGAACTAAGCCCTACTGTGCAAAGCCAGCTGATTGGCCATGAGCATCAGATGATCGCTCTTAGCCAATCATTTAGCTCAGGCAGAGAGGGAATATCCAGTGCCAGGAAAACATACCAGTTTTCCTGGCACTGCAGAATCCTGCAGTGCCCCCCTCCCTCCCACACCTCATCCTATGTTGCTGAAGGGGTAACCCCTTCAGTGACTTACCTGAATCCAGCACAGATGTCCCTTGGCACTGGGTCAGTCTCCACCCACGCTCCTCAGCCAGCGGGGAAGACCTAATGAGCATGTGCGGCAATGGCCGCGTGCGCATTAGATCTCCTCATAGGAAAGCATTATTCAATGCTTCCCTATGGGGATTCCGGCGACGCTGGATGTCCTCATGCATAGCTGATAGACAGCCACTATAGGAGAACCCTGCATGGTAATCATTGCAGTTTATAAAAAGAGATTCATTGATTGAATTCATCTCTATGAGGAGATGCTGATTGGCCAGGGTTGTGTTTGAATCATGCTGGCTCTGCCCCTGATCTGCCTCCTTTACAGTCTCAGCCAATCCTATGGGGAAGCATTGGGATTGGATCAGGGTACCACTTCTGATGATGTCAGCAGACTGCTTGTTTTTCTTTTTTTTAGGCAAACAGCATGCAGATCTACAGCTTCAGTCTTGAGTACAGTAAGATTTTTACTATATTTATGGAGGCATGAGGGGCCCAGGGGGGCTAGATGGTGGTTTTAACACTTTAGGGTCAGGAATACATGTTTGTGTTCCTGACCCTATAGTGATCCTTTAAAGGCAGAGCCAGCATGAGTCAAACACCGCCCTGGCCAATCAGCATCTTCTCATAGAGATGAATTCAATCAATTAATCTCTATGAGGAAAGTTCAGTGTCTGCATGCAGAGGGAGGAGGTACTGAATGTTTGGATGCATTTTAGGCAGCCATGACCCAGGAAGGATATCTAACAGCTATTCGAGGAGTGACCAGGGAAGTTATCACTAGGCTGTAATGTAAACACTGCATTTTCTCTGAAAAGACAATGTTTACAGCAAAAAGCCTGAAAGTAATGATTCTACTCACCAGAACAAATTCAATAAACTGTAGTTGTTCTGGTGACTATAGTGTCCCTTTAAGTATCAGAGCAACACGGTTTTTGGATTTTGATATGAGAGAGAGCGAGAATATAAATTCTGTATATACTTTTCTTTGTGGCCAAACTGTGCGGTACATTGTTAATTATCAGTGCAACACTGTTTTCTAATTTTGATTTACGTACATACGTGTGTACACACACACACACACTTCAAAATCCGAAAACAGTGTTGCACTGATAATTAATGTACCGCACAGTTTGGCCACAAAGAAAAGTATATGGAGCTGGAAAGCTAATGACAAATCTTAATTTTGGATTTATTGGCGTATGCTGAAGCATCACTGTCATTTACTGTGACAAATGTGTATTTCCAATTACTATATTCTAAATGCTAATGCACACTATCAAAGGCTTTCCAAAAACTCCATTAAAAGGTGACCTTGCATATATATATATATATATATATATATATATATATATATATATATATATATATATATATATATATATATATGCTAAAAAAATTAAAGTGCTAAAACTGCTTTCCCGGAGACCGCAATTTAATTATTACTTTTGCCTGCTTTCATTGGCCAAAGCAAAAACCCTCTGACGCTGCAAACCACCAGTATTGTCGTACATTTGACAGGCAGTCATGTTTGGGCAAGCTGCAAAGCTGATTTGTGGGATCAAACCTATTTTTACTAATCACAAGGGAGACAGATAGCACTCAGCTTTTTAGAAAATGAGCAAGAAAATCAATGGAAACACAATTTATTTTCATCACAGCTCACCCCAGAAGAAGTTTCGCTTTTCAACTAAGCCTTTGTTTAACCCTGTGAGTGACAGAAAAGTGAGCCGCGTTTGGAACCGGTTACAGCAAAAATGGATAAACAAAAGTATGTAATAAATAGGCTGTGTTAATAAAAATTTTAAATTTATAGAGGGGAAAAAATATATATAAGATTTTTTATATATCTAGTCTATATGGAATTCAGAATTAAAGGAACGCTCCACTGTCCATATTAAAAATAAATTTTAAATAATCTCAATTTTATATTCCCAATAAAAATGTGCACACATTTTATATGGTATTTTGTTTATTGATATACATATATCATAAACATCTTTCAAAAGTTGCATATCTCTTGTCTGCTGTCTTTGCAAGCCCTCCCTTTCTAACTCAGCCCAGACTTTCTGTGGCTGTCCAATCACAGACTTCCCAATGCAGTTCAATGTGAAGTCTTTCCAAAGCAAATGATAGTCAAGAAAGATTAGAATTGTTGTCCATTTTACTATTTGCCTTTAATTTTTCTCTGATTTACAAAAGGATCACAGGAATAACACCGCTTTCATAATTTTAAATGACAAATTCTAAAAGCAAAGCAAATATCTGACATAAGAACATGAATGAAAAAGCCACCACTCAGAATCGATAAACACTGACCCCTAACTAGCAGGGGTCTTTAATGCATCTTCAAAATACTTCTATAGTCATATTTCACCATAAGGGTTATCATTCAAACCACAACACAATATTATTGATTGTATGTGATATACAAGCCTTCATAGCACAACCTCTCCTTTAAAATGTATATTTGAAGGGCACAGTTAAGATACAGGTCTTAATGAGTACAGACAACCCTTTGTTAAACAAGGTTAAAGAAACGGGCAAATATTTTTATTTATTTTTTATTTCATGTAAAAAAAAAATGTTTGTTATATTTGTTTTCCCTAATGAAAGGGTCACGAGTCTTGTTTTGCAAAAGCTATTGAACTTTGCTTTGCCCTTTCACAGTCAATTTACAACAAGGAGCAAAAAATATTGAAGCTTACAAAATTATTTTTTAGCGAATTCAAAAATAAAACTACTTTATGAATTACTGTCACTACTACACAAATTACTGATATTCCAGAGGAATTTCTATGTAATGGAGTAAAAAGTATTGTTACTGTATCATTAGACGTGCTAGCGCTGTGTTGCAGGCATGAGGACCATGTAGAGAGCGATTCAGCAGTGCTCCCTGCATGGTCCTGAAGGCTGGGGGACAGCTATGCAGCATATTAGTTGGCAGGCCTGCTTATTTCAGTGCGCACTGCATGCTGTCCACAGACGTAACTACTTCTACTTCTATCCCCTCCTGCCATCCGCCCTCGGTTTTATTTTATTTTTTTAATTAGCACTGGCACTGTCCCATAGTAAGATGACAAGCAGTTTTAGCATAGTTTGACAATTTGCCTGAGTCCTGTTAGGCATCTATTGCAGCATTCGTTGCATCCCCTTCTTCTCCAGCTGGAGAATATGGATTGCTCTGTAGAGCAAAGCTGGGTCGAGCAGGGCTGCACTCATTGGCTGAGAGGATCAGCAGAACCCTCTCTGCTAATATGTACGGTCGTTCATCATTTATGCTTTATTCTATAGAATTATCCAACCTCTCCTGCAGGAGCCCCAGGCCCCATGCAGGAGTCACGTAAGTTGTCAGACAGTGCTAGGAGTTAGAAATTGTATGGCACCAGACTACAGGGGAGTTTGATTTCAGGAAGGGGGAAGGCTGTGAAAGATGAGGAGGAGGAGATGGGCATGCATTCGTTTCTACTGCACTGCTTATCGCATGGTATAATCTCTTTGCCAGTCACTGCAGATTTACCAGCCTCCTTAGCTGGGAGATGGAGAAACAAACAATGAGGGGGATTTTTGAAAGTGTCACTTTTAAGACAAAATTTCTGTTATTATTTAGCGCAATTTATTAAATCGGTCAGATTTTTCATTTGTCACTTCCATCATTTTTTTAATGTAAACCAATATTTTTTTTTATCCCCAAAGAAACAGATTAATCAATCTTTTTGGCACTTTTTTCCCCACACAGAAGGGTGTTACTTTAATAAATAAGATCATATGATCAAGATAATTCCCCTTCTCCCATCTAACTCTCTATACTTTCTCCTACCCTATACTCTACCCTCTTTCTTCTCGATTCATATTCTTTTGGAGGAGCCCGGGAACCAAAACCTGCAGGGTAGGTGTCATAGTCAATCTCTAGCCAACTTCAGTAAGCTATGCAGGGGACGAGGACTGGAACTCCCTCCAGACCAAAAACCCATTCCTCATACAATAACATGAGCTACAATGTACTTTGATAGGTAGGTCACCACCTACTAGTGTACAGTACATTGTATACGGACCACTTCAGTGTTTAGAAAAACGAGACACCACTACTGCATTACCACGAGATGTTAACTCGAAATGTATGGTTTAAGTTAAATAAACATTAAAACTCTTGGCAAGTAGATGGGTTAGCCTATTCCTGCACCTTCTATGAGAAACGCGTTGACACAACATGTATATACTAATGTTTAAACATGCTGTGAATTCATAGGCTTCTGCGTAAGCTACACCGCAAATGTTGTCATACTACTTTTGTCAAGATGGAAAAATAAAGAAATTTAAAAAAAAAAAAAAGTTATCGAAAGTTTTAGTTTACTTTCAAGGTCTGATTCAATAGTGTGATTTCTAGAGAAGAAAGGGTTTCCCCTTTCCTGAAAAAAAAATAATCACATTAGAAAGCAAATGTTAACATTGAATAAATTAGACAAACATTTTAAGAAAAGTAGATGGAATCCGGTGTGGTTTTCATATTAACTAAATAAAAGTAATAACAGCTGTACAAATTACCACGGATATCACATGTAATGCTTTCTGTTCCGCTCCATCCAGTTATGCTTGGCATGTTATGTCGATGCCCATTTTCTAGCGCTGCTTATGGCCAGGACTGTAGCCAGACACGAGCTGTCCTTAACAAGTATGAATCTCACATCATGCTATGCTTGGCCTCCTCACTAAAGAGAAGGCGTAAGACGCACCCTGTGGTCAGGCACTATGCAACAGCAAACCCCCCAGTAGAGGAAATACCAGGATGTCTACTAAAGTATTTAACAATCTTTCTGTACCATCCTAGAATTATCATTGTGATCATTACTTCAATTAATTGTAGGCCAACACTGGCTGTCATGGTTTGCCAATATATGGTAATGGAAAAAAGTTCAACAATTTAAACATGTGTGGCAAAAAAATTACAATTTTTTTAATAAGTTTGCCCCAGAAAAAATATAATCTTTAGATTTTCTTTTAATACATATTAGATTTACAGTTTATCATAACAAATAATATTTAATCTATAATGGCAACACATTATAAAACTATCAGATATATTTTTTTTAAAAACAGTGAAGTGTGAATTATGTGGAAAAAAACCTTTGAAAGTCAAAGATTGTGTTAAGGTTATCGCAATACACACTTCCCTGTACTGTTTCTTCCGAATTGCTTTCTTCTTTTTTTTATCTTTTTTAAATATTTTATTGTAGTTTTGTTGTACATCACATGGAGTGCAAGAGAATGTCAATACCCTGACTTTCTAGGTGCTGTGGAATGCATCACACTAACACACCTTGTTGCACAGTGCACAGTAAGGGATCTGGAAAGAAGATCCGCCCGTTGAAATAACAGATTGTGAGGAAGGCTGAACTTGATGGACGCAAGTCTTTGCTTACTTCCTATAGATTCTTCTTAGTAAAATGACACTGTGTCAACATACTGCACATTATGAAAATCTAAACTTAACCAAGCATCAATCCTAACCCAACCCCAAAACAACCAAAGCAGGGCTCTGTGTGGGAGTTATATCAGCAATTACATGCGCTGAGGAATCTTACTGCTTACACAGTTCAAGGCAAACTGGACTGTGCAATCACTGATCGCTGACTCTGTTAACAGGGAAGCATGCAGGGATAACGAATTGGGTTCTTTTCAGACCCAGAGGTTGTCACTCTCTCAGGGGATCTCTGTTTTCCCCAATATTCAAAAATAATTGCTCATTAGTAAATCTGGAGCCACTAAATATGTCACCTTTAGTCCTAGGGGAGTCACATGTATTGAGTGATACCTGGATCTCCCTGGAATGAGCAGGGATATAGCCCTGCTGTGCCATCTTTGGGCTTTAATGTCCATTACTGCATGTTAAAGGACCACTATAGGCACGCAGACCACTTCAGCTCAATGAAGTGGTCTGGGTGCCAGGTCCATCTAGGATTAACCCTGCCTGCTGTAAAGTTTCTCTGAAACTTCTAAGTTTACACATGGGTTAATCCAGGCTTTAGTGGCTGTCTCACTGACAGCCACTAGAGGCGCTTCTGCGCTTCTCACTGTGATTTTCACAGTGAGAAGACGCCAGCATCCATAGGAAAGCATTGAGAATGCTTTCCTATGTACTGGCTGAATGTGCGCGCGGCTCATTCAGCGGCGCATTCAGCCGATGACGACAGAAGGAGGAGGAGAGTCCCCAGCACCGAGGGATCCCGGCGCTGGAGAAAGGTATGAGTGTTCAACCACTTGAAATGGCAGCACCTATGAGGGAAAATGAGACAAATTGTACGGGAATATGTATATAAATATATAATATAAAACAGACACAAATAAAGAGACCAATGCAAATCGCTAACATTTTAGTGAGTTTTCCATCAATTTGAAATGACCTACTCATCTTTAAGTGAGTGGCTAAAAAGAAAATACATTATCTAGACTAGGGCTCTCCAAACACCCTCCAGATGTTGCTTAACTACAACTCTTATGATTCTCCGGCTATCGATTTCATTTAAAGAATTATGGGAGTTGCAGTTGAACAACATCTGGAGGGCCAAAGTTTGAAGAACCCCAATTCTAGACCAATGACTTTATGTTTACAAGGAGTTTCTGTTGCAGTGCATCATCTTCTGTGTCCAAAACTGGAAGTTTTTTGCGTAGCATGAAAAAAAAAAAAAAAATGCAGGTAATTTCCAAAGTGTCAGCAACTAATTTCCCGTCTAAAATAGCTATGGACATTTTTCTTTTTAATGTAAAACAGTGTCAAACTATTTCTCATTTAATAATTTACATTAACTACAATTATCCCTTGGAGATCGGACAGATTCCCATGTGAAAGTGTCCATCTAAAAAAGTTCAGAAAAGAGGAATAAAGATTATTTGATCCATCTGTTGATATTGAACACTACCAAAAAGAATGTTTCAACTTTAACCCCCTTTTATTCCAGAAGTTTGGTCCTTAAGGGGTTAATATTGCAGTTCTAGGATAGAATTAAAAAACTGTGCATGGAAAACGTCCAGTTGCATTGTAATATATGATGACAATGACAGTTAATTAAACTGAAAAGATTAAACTACTAAATCAAACCAGAGCACACATTAAAGAAAAGCTATAAAATAAAATGTTACGCATTTAATTTGTGACATTTATGTTTTAGATACACTAATCAAAATGCCCTGCAGGTGCCCACAGACTAAGTGCCAAGCATTAAGGTGGCACTGCAGCTAAGTATGCTGGAACATGGCCAACACATCCATTTCATCACGTAAATGACTACCAAAGGAAATCGTCAAGTTACAAGCATTGGGTCTGCTTTAATCTACCAATTTTCTGGTTATCTACTGAAATGAAACGGTTACTAAGTGGAATGTTTGGGTCATATTCTTGTGACTAATTTTGACTTTGTTTTTTCCCTCTCAACATGTTCATACAACACATACATTTCACATTAGAAAAAAAAACAAAACAGTTGCAATTGCCAGCATTCTTTCTATATTGATTGTACATTTTAAGGTTATCTTATTAAAGAGGATCAGTCACTTTCTTGAATATAGAACATCTACAGTTGCAAGAAAAAGTATGTGAACCCTTTGGAATGATATGGATTTCTGCACAAATTGGTCATAAAATGTGATCTGATCATCATCTAAGTCACAACAATAGACAATCACAGTCTGCTTTAACTAATAACACACAAAGAATGAAATGTTGCCATGTTTCTATTGAACACACCATGTAAACATTCACTCACTCACCCCCAACACAAACACACACACACACCCACAGTCATCATAATGGATGATTGGCATTGCATTACCAACTTATAGCAGCCATACCATAGCTATCACTTTAAATATAACCTGGTTCACAGGTATTACCAAATCAATTTATGAGTGCAGAGCTGCATGTATCTTTTAAAGATTTATAAGCAGTCTTCCATGATATGATAAATTCTTTAGGCACTATATTGCATATTTCCATCTTCAAATTGGAGCATTTGATCCATAAGGGGTTACAGACATTTTTTTTCCACACAGATAGAATTCTTGTGCAGTTTTTCACTAGGACGGGTGTTTATTCCATTTTCCTGGATTTCCCAAGGAAAGTTCCAACACAGCAATTCTGGCAAAAATATGAAGATTCCTTGTCACTTCTCCACCATCCCAGTGAATACTGAAAAGCCCCATATGTGCTAGGGAAATGCCTTCAGAATTACACATAAGGAACAACACTGGAAAAAAAACTCTAATCTTCCTTGTTTACAATTTAATTTGATCTGTTAACAGAATCAATGTAAAAAAAATAAAAATAAATAAATAAATTTGAACTATAATAAGTCAAAAAGCAATGTAACATAAGTACAATTTGTAATTCCATTGTAATATGCTGCTCTATTGTGTCTAAATTACCATTTTTTGTTTTACCTTGTGAAAGTACAAATTGCAAATTGTTTAAATTGCTGTGAAAAAAAGATAAAATAAAATATAGGACTGCAAGCCTAATGTAAGAAAAAAAAATAAAATGCTGTGACAGCAGTAAATCTACCGTATATACTTGAGTATAAGCCGAGTTTTTCAGCACATTTTTTATGCTGAAAAAGCCCCCCTTGGCTTATACTTGAGTCAATGTCTGTATTATGGCAACTTACATTTCCATAATACAGACCAGGACCGCCAGGGGGAACCGGCAGCAAGCTGAACTTACCTTCCCAGCAGCTCCGTTCATCTCCCAGTGTAAATCTCACGAGACCTGCGGCCATCAGAGCGTTGCCACGGGTTACTGTGGCAACGCTCCGTGCAGCACGCAGAGCGCGAGATTTACACTGGGAGATGAACGGAAATGCTGCTGCAAAGGTAAGTAACAGCTTGCTGCCAGCCCCTCCACTGCACAGCCGATACCACTGGACCACCAGGTAACAAGCAGGGAGGGAGGACAAAAAAAAAAAAAAAAAACAATTAAATATTAAAATAATCAAAATATTAAAATACAAATGCCCTCCCCCCACCCAGTTTACACACACTACACAAACACACTACACACTCTGTATTCATTATATACACAAACACTACACAAACACACTGCATTCATTATATACACACACACACACACACACACACACACACACAGTAAATAAATATTCAATTAAAGGTAATTTCATTGGGATCTTATTTTATTTAGAAATTTACCAGTAGCTGCTGCATATCCCACCCTAGGCTAATACTCATGTCAATAAGTTTTCCCATTTTTTTGTGGTAAAATTAGGTGCCTTCGGCTTATATTCAGGTCGACTTATACTCTCGAGTATCGAGTATATACGGTAATTTAAAAAAAAAAAAAATCAGGTACACAAATACAAACACGTAGACAAATGTTGTTAAATCTTTGCAGATTTACAAATCTGAATCAATAACGTTTTATTTAGTAACTCTTGAAACTTCTATAAAAGACTTCCATCATTCAGATTTACATGCATGTAATAGAGTTTGCATTTTTGTGGAATCAAATGGGTTACCAGATGGGTTGCTTTTGTTTGACAATATGCTGGCTCAATAATGCATATAACACATCTTATAAGAAATTTTACAAAATTAAAAAAAGGATCTCTGGCAAGTGGTATGCCTTTATGTGTATTGTGATCCAGCATTCATCAATCCTAATGCATAGTAACAGAGTCTGGAAGATTTTATGGAGTATGTGTCAAAGAAAAGCAGTACATGTTTATTTTAAGTAAAGTGGATCTTAAAGGAAAAGTTAATTTATTTTCATATAAACAAACAATCAACAGACCTATATTATATCACGAGTAAAGAATGGAATTTGTTTCAGCATCAACACTTGATCCTGCTCGACAGGCTCCCATGCTGCCGGCAATATTCACTGCTGTACCCAAATGTCATTGGGAATGTATTGAAAGCAAGCAGCTTTGTTTATGTGGCTTCTATTAAGGTGGTACTGTGCCACAGGTGTACCCAAGGAGTTTAGATCTGATCGTCCAGCAGCTGTTGACTACAATTTCCATAATGCTATCTCAGATGTTTGACTGGCAGAGAATTAAGGAAAAGTGTATATCTCAGGTAACAGTGTTTGGCCTTTGTAAAGTACAAAGGATTATTTGCAAGTGTGCCTGTGTATGAAGAAAATGCCTATAAAAACTTACCAAACAACCACGTAGATATTATGTGCTACAAAAGGCAGAAATACATAGGGAGGGCACATTCAGAGTTTCTACTGAGACACTGTGAGCAGAGTTGGATTTTTCAGTGTTAACTTGACCATCTTTTAACAGTTTCATTGCAGTGATGTCACTAGACAACCCAGAGGACTAATCATCGAACAATTCATGTGCCTTTTAGTGGTGCAATGGATAATGTTATTCATTTTGGCCTAATGTTCACTTCATATGAAATACACAACATTACTGATTAAAACTTATTTCTTCTACACACTTTATAAAAGTATTAATTGGCTAGTATTGCAGAAATAATTATGGTCATGTAAAATAGAAATAAATCTGTGCCATTAGGAATATTAGAAATTCCCAAACTCTGTGCCAGATGAAAGCATTGTTTTGGAAAATGGTTACCAAACATGGATTAGTCTGATCAAAACACTACTACAATTCTGGGTAAAGTGAGGATTTAAAATAAAGAACATTAAGAAGAGCCAACGTCATTAAATGAGACAATTATAGGCACCCAGACTACTTTATCTCATTGAAGTGTTCTGGGTGCAGTGATCCTGTTCTCAAACCCTGTAAAATAAACCATTGCAGTTTTTGTGAAGCTACGATGTTTACATCACAGTACTAAGAATGCTTTAGTGGCTCTCTATCAGGCAGCCACTAGTGGTGCTTCCTGGAGTTTCACAGAATTTGACTCCGTGGAACGAAGCTGGACGTCCTCATGCTCTGCATAAGGATATCCAGCATCAGAGAAAACATCATCAGAAAGCATTGAGGCAATGCTTTCCTATGGGGAATGCATGCACTTTAGTTGATGTCAGGGGAAGTGGACCGTAACCCTGTAATGAGGGATCTTGGCGTTGCAATTGGGTAAGTAAATAAAGGGTCATTTAACCATTTGTATCACTGGGGTGGCACGAGGCTGAATACATCTTTGTATTCCTAATACTAAAGAGTTCCTTTAACCATTCTGTACTTCATATGTTTTCTGTAATATTCCCTGAGTAAGCCCTTACTGTAATATCACAATGTGGAATTTAATCCTACTCACATACATTATATATTATATATATATGGGAAAAGGTTATTGGAAATATAGTTAACATAAAGAAGCATGTTACTACAATACAGCATCTCCGGTGTTATATCTAAATTTTCTATGAAATACACATTGTGACTTCCAAAAAGAAAAGTATAAACATAATAAAAACTTGCATACCGCTTTACCATCTTCTTCCAACTATTTCTGGTAGCCTCATTGGTCACCCCACTTCTACATGGTCTTTAAAGCGTTACTCCAAACACCATGACCACTTCTGAGATTTGAAGAGTTCATGGTGCCTCAAGTCTGACTCTGTATGTGCAGCATTTCACTTTGAAACACTGCACATACATTAATCCCTCTGTTGTCAGAGGTGTAACTACAACTGAAAGCAGTCAGCTGACGCTCTCAGCCAATGAATATCGTCCACCCCCCTTTTTGGAGCTCTGCAGAAACCAGAATCAAGTCACTGGACCACCAAGGAGCATCTGAGTCCATTGGGAAGGCAGGTAAGGGTCAGAATATTGTGAAATTAATTTTGCCCCACAACCAAAGAACCAACCCAGGGTCCTCCTGGCATTATAACCACTACAGCAGGCTTTAGTGGTTATGGTGCTTGAAGTGACCATTTAAAGAACTAGCTTTAGTGGCAGATACTGCAATATGACTGACTTAAGTGGGACCATGGAAGATTGATATCCGACGGTTGTACATACACAACAAGAAGCCATGACATCAGGCTCCAAAGATTTAAAGGAGTTACATATGAGATTTCTTAGATGCAGAAATTATTTCTGTCCCTTTCAGTTCCTTTGAATAAACAAAGGGAAAAAAAAAAAACAATTCATAAGACAAACTACCCTACCATACAAACAAATTAAATTGTAAAAATGTGATTGTGTGTCAGGTAATACAGGGTTGTCCAAAGGAGATCCTTAGTTGTTGTAGGAACTACAAAGTCAATTTATCGTTTACAAAACTCCAGAATAATAAAGCATTTTGGGAGTTGTAGTTTTACAACAGCTGGGGATCTACCACTTGGCCACTTCTACTTGATAAAAACGGAAGAAATGGAAGAAAGATTCAAAGACCCAAGGTCACTCTCACGTTCAAAAACAGCCACAATGTGCTCAAATTCCGAATCTGAAACATTTACAACATTTTTTTTCTCTAACTAATTAGGCAGACTTAACTGGTACCTTTTTTAATTTTGCTATATGCGGTGACACACGTTTCCTTTTTGACGTCTTACAGTTGATAGACACAATGCTTGCGCACCCACTGGTCAACTACTCAAGCAAGGTCCTGGCTTTATTATTATTTAAAAACAGTTTTAGACTGTAGGTTTGGTTGTTGCTATAAACAACTTTAATAATTTGTCTCCAAATTGTGTTTTAGAAGAATAAAATAATAATAGGGCCCCAGCCAAGCATTTATAGGATCACTACCTTAGAGGAAGATATTTGTCATCCATGTGGTAGTCAAAGGGTTACATGTATACAAAGCCGATTATTTTTTAGGCAATAAAGGTCTATGTTTACATACACACAGATTATGAACACTAGGTTATTTAATGCATCGGTTAAACACATTTATCAGCAAATAATTAAACTGAGTTTGCAGAGAATCAAATTATATGCAAGGCCAGAGCGGAGTGATTTTATTTGTCACTAATTTTCCACACTCCCATTGAAAAAGTCACAGAGCATGCTGGAGATATATGAAGAAATTCTAGTGGCTTTTTACATTGTATTGCATACATGAACACGTTTCCATCAACATGCAACACTGCAAGGATGAGACTGAAATAACTTCATATTCAAGGAAGATAATGGGTTTTATGACAATTATGTTAGAAAATACTGTAATCTGGAGTTTTGCATATATTCAAAATGCCACTTTAACTGCTTATGTGAATCGATGACAGCTCTCACTCCAAATCAAGAAGAAATGATGGAAAGCACCTGGTACCCTTGGAAACTGTTCCAATGAACTTTGTATTTCCAGAATATAACCTACCTGATTCACACTAGTCTCCAGTGATCTATTGATGAAGGTAATCCATTCACACGGGAGTTGGGGTGAACTAATGAGCTTACTATACCAATTGTACTACTAATATATGAAAACTGTTTGGTGGAATGTATTGTTTCTCTACGCCGGTATTACTGTGCAATGCTTTGTTATATTGAGCATGATGAGAAGAAAAAAAATATGATACTGTAATCACTAAGCAAACAAAAAGAATAGAATCCAACACTACTGTTGACACTAGAGCAAAACAAACAAGTCGTTGTGCATAACTGAATCGTGTGTTTGAAAGTGACATTGAACTAGGACAAAACTACGAACTTTACCCTGATAAAATGAGGCTGGATTTTTTTCGCTCTCATTCAAAGCTTGCGTCATGGGATAGAGCCCGCTCAGTCATTTACACTGGAACAGTCTGAACTGACGACAAGACTAGCAAGTGGTAGATCTGTCATCTAAATAAATTGTGTTTTCACGTGACTAATCACACAAGCTTTTTTCAGGCAGCACTTTAAATCTTTCAATTGTAGGAAAAAAAAAAAACATGGGTCAAACTAGATCATTAAGTTAATTACTATCAGCATGGTGAAACTACAATTAGGAATATATTGTAAAAAAAATATTTATTTTTAACCGTTTATTAACTTGTTAGGTCTTACAGCCACTAGAACTTAAGTTTCCATTTGATGGAAATCATCACACACAGTATCGGGAAAGTGCAATATTTGCTGCAAACTGTGCCTCCCATGATAAGTGCAGCATTTGCGAGATTCATGGGAGTTGTATTAGAGATTAACTGGAATACTAGGTGGTGTGTGGAAAAGCAAAAATGATCCAGGCACTCAAAGACAGTGAATACCAGTGCATGAAGTAAAAACAGCATTGTTTCAACCTCAAACTAGGTCTTTATCATGATAAAACCACAGTGTAAACATGTAGCATATATACAGAACATAATTACCCAAAATTGATTACAAAACAAAAACTTTATTATCCCAAACAGCAAGTATCAGGATCCAAATCTCCAGAGGCTAATTGCGCTCAAAGGGGCGATCATGCCCCCATACACTGGAGGTAAGTGCGTCTAACAGCTTAATTATGGAAAACACACATGCGTAATTAAATATTCCATTTGAACAAGCTTGAGTGACTGGATCATTTTTTGCTTATCAATTGATATATTGGAGTTTGCCAGCCTCAGGTCCAAATTTGCACCCTGGATTGACAACTGAGAGGACTCCTTATTTATCATGCTACAAGTGTGGTTGGTTATTTGACTGGCACATGCATACCCTCACTTTACCTTATGCCACACAAATCATCTTTGAAATTGGGAGGTACATAGGCTTATTACAGAAGTTAATTTAACACTGATCATGACATGAGGTTTATGTTTTTGAACAAATGTGTACTTATTGGTTTTAACTCTTCTCAAAAAAAGGAAACCGTTGTCTATCCATATTTAAAACAAAATAAAGAGTAAATACGATCTAATAAAAAAGAAGCACAATGAAAACAATAACACATGAATAACCCATTACTTCATATGTATCTAAATCCAAAATAAAAGCAAGACCCCCTCCCCCAAATGATTAAAAAAAAAAGTTCAGAAGGCAGGACCACTCCCCTCTTGCTTTCAACTTCTGATAAAATCAACATTTGCTCACCAAAAAGTTAGCCTACATCAGACATCCGAGGGAGGCTGTCCCAACACAGCTAGCCTGCCCTACATCCTAGCGCTTCACACACAGCTCTGTATGGAAGGAAAACAAGTAAACACTAACGTACTGAGACATATCTACAAGGCACCCTGACACCTAATAGTCTGAGCTCGGGAACTGGGGGGTGGGGGTTTATGTACTAAATTCTGAATAGTACAAAATGGCAGATGATTTTGGGGGGGGGGAATCACTCCAAATCGGCTATAGTCTTAGATTGTCAACATTTGCCTGAATTTTGCCAGATTTCAATTCGGAGTTTAGTGAATAAGTCTTACTATTAACATATGGTCCCCATCTAGCCGCCAGCATGCTGATCACATGTCTGGACTAGGAGTGGGCTTTTAAATTGCTTCTAAGGTTCAGACACCAACTGGTAACAATACTATCAAATGGCCAGCAGCCTCATGTGATACTTCGAAATTATAACTATTTTTGCACAGTGTCATTCCTTTTTTTACTGATAGAGGAGAATACATACCCCATCAATTACTGCGATTGCCCCTGTAACTGACATGTAATCATTCCACAAAAAGTACACTAATAAGTACCTCAGTATTAATAGATCACACTGATTGTAGAGTTCAGAAATGGAATTTAGAACATCGCTCAAAAGAAGAGAAAGCACCGAGAGTCTCAATAAATCAGGACCTACCTCCGGCCAGTTAACGCCCTTTATTTCTGGCTGACTGTCTTCTTTCCACAGATACAATGTCAGATTCCAGATCCCTTGTTTGTGCTCACAGGCTGAGCTCTGATGTAGTCTCTTAGCAGGACAGATCCACAGCCCCACCACTGCCTCTAAATCTCCCACAACCTCTGGTCGCACAGAGCAGCTCTGATGGGTGGGGAGAGGCTGAGGACTTCCTTGCAGTCACTATTGCAGTCCCTCCCATTCCTATTACATGTAGACCATGCTCTCTCTCTACCACATGCTGGGTCTCTTTTTGTTTAAGACAACGGTCTGTAGCTCAAAGGATATGTGCCAAAGATTACTTCGTTAAATCAGAGCCAAGTTTCGACGATAACCCGATTAGGGTGCTGCTGGGCGAATTAAATGTACAAATTTTAAAAGGAGCGGTTTGTTTTATTTTTTAAAAAGCCCCTGAATTAAGCTGCCTTAACAGTTAAAAACCATCAGACTTGCAGTCTACCACATTATGCTGTGTTCAGTTTGATGACTCACCAGGTCTTGAAGAGAAATCTCTCATGCATTGATCATTTTACAGATAATGCAATTCAATTTGCATTACAAGTTGTGGTAGTACAATTCGTTAAGGGAGTTGTTTACTAAACAGTGAACTGAAAAATGTATTGCAAAGCTTAAGGAAAAAAACTTTATTAGGGAAAAAAATATACTAATTTAGTTTTTATGTTTTTTAATGCTGTCTTACAATATATTAATTTTACCTCCATTCACTAAACCCTATATTGAGGTTTATTTACTAAATTATAAATTGCACATTACTGAAAACTCACATAGGGTATGCACTAATGTGAGAATTGTCAGGAATTCAAAGTGGCACTGTCACCACCACCTGCAAATTGCATAGTTCATAGATGTAGGATCTTTATTAAATACTCATATTTACTTTGTTGGAATTTCACTGAAAATCCAACCCAGTCAAAATAGATACTGAGACAAAGTAGAGACTATTTTGTCTCAGTATTTTTCCTATGCCTGGCACATATGGATATTGGGTGGAGTTACTGGTATCAAGAAGTGTCAATGCCCAGCTCCAGCATGGTCCAACATTAACCTCAATGCTGTACTCTTGTGCATGTCATTATCATTAATATAACTTCCATACATATGGTGCCAACTAAGACCGAAGAACTTTACAATTTTATAAAGGGGGATCTAACAACACATAAGGCAAACTATTACATTTTTTTACAGGAGTAATAGGTTGATGAGGACCCTGCTCAAACAAGCTTACAATCTAAGATAGTGTTTCTCAATCTCTTACGGAGACTTACCCCTGCATGCCTAGAGAAAAACTAGTACCCATGTCTCGAGAAAGTAATTTCTATTGATTTAAATTCCAAACAAAATGGGTAGACACGGATATTTAAAGGGGCACTATAATCACTAAAAAGACTTTAGCTTAGTGGAGCAGTTTTGGTGTATAGATCATTCCCTGCAGTCTCATTGCTCATTCAGGAGTTACATCACTTTGTTTATGTAGTCCTAGCCACACCTCCCTGCATGTGACTTGCACAGACTTCCTAAACACTTTCTGTAAAGAGTCAGCTAATGTTTATACTTTCTTTATAATAATTAAAGTTTAATTTACAGAGCAGGAGATAAAAAGTTTAAAACTTAAGTTACATCTGATTGAAAATGAAACCATTTTGTTTTCATACAGGCTGTGTCAGTCACATCCAATGAGGGTGTGGCTAGGGCTGCATATACAGAAACAAAAGTGATTTAACTCCTAAATGGCAGAGAATTAAGCAGTTAGACTTCAGAGGCATGATTTATACACAGAAGGACCATGATTTATACACCTTAAGGACCAAACTTCTGGAATAAAAGGGAATCATGACATGTCACACATGTCATGTGTCCTTAAGGGGTTAAGTTAATCTCATATTATAGAACAAGCATGATTAAAGGTAGTAAAGAATATTTTTAAAAATAATTATGACATAATGCGCATAGTGTGTATGTGATGAGGAGTGTATAAACTGTTAATCTGAAGTATAATAGTGACAAAAGGAAAACATAATACACATAATAGTTACACACAGAGGAATCTGGCATACACACACAGGTCACTGGCACACACACAGAGAAAATTGACTAAAACACAAATTTACACACTCACTGATTTGACACACTGACAGACACACACATTCTTAACAGTGTCTATAAGTCTGATTAATCACATACTTCAAGAAAAAATTGAGTATTAAGAATACATACTTATATTCCTGACTCTACAGTTCTGTTGCCACTTATCAATTAACACCCCCACTCCCCAGCCACTCTATAAAATAAAAATAAATTGAACTAATTACTTAGTTATTCTCTATTCTCTTACTTGACCTCCCCCTTGGGCTGCGTCATCCTGGAGGCAGGCCTTCAGGATGACGGGCAAATCCAGTGCTCCTTATAGAGGAGCATTAGGGAACGTAGGCACATGCGTGGTTGCTGTGATGCACCTACAATTCCTCTATAGATAATCATTAAATACAATGATTATCTACGGCCTACTGTGATGGCACTGCACATTCAAGCGTGACGTCACAGTATGTTGTGGTATGAGATTCCTGTCACTCATAACCAGAGGTCTTGGAGGCATGGCTTGAAGTTGCAATTCCAATCCAAACTCCAAAGAGACTTTGTGAAATATGTGTTTTTTTATGCTTGGGGATAATTACATTAAGACATTATCTACCTTAATTGTATCACAGGCAGAGGGGAGGTATTGTTTGCTGTATGTGGGAGTGTCATGCATTTAACAATTGTTGTTATTGGTCTTTACAATTTGTGTCCTATGCTCCATCAGGTCCAGTGGATGTTCCTCTGGCCTGAAAAATTGTATAAAAATCCAACCTGTACCATTAAACTGGCAGATCATCTTGCACCTTCATGAAGTTTCGGCTCATGTTTGGTGGATTGGAGAACTACACTCTGGGGATTGCTATAATCACTATACTCCCCTGAGTATAATCATTAAGCTCTTGTAAGAGCTGTTCCTGCTTGACTCTCTGGAGCGAGAGAGGTTCACCCACTGGAACCTGGAGCCTTGTCGTAGGTCCAGGGTGGGTAGGAGACGGCAAGACCCCAACCAAGCTGCGGCGGTTCGTGGGGTTTGCAGTGGTTATGGTGCTCCAGCTCAGTGCTTATGGTACTCGTCAGTACCAGGAAGCAGAGATTGACGGAGGTACCCGGTCGGGGTGCAGTCGCTCCGTCACACAAATTTAGTTAGAATTATTGAAAGATAATACAAGACATAATTCTTGCATCATGTGAACTAAAATTTACCATCATACTAAATTGAAGAAATTAAATTGACATTGATCCAAATTTCCCGCAAAAACAATTATACCTGGATTATTGATATCTAAAAGGACTTGCTTGGGAATTGCCATACTATCTCCAAGATTTATAAGTATACTAATATCAGTGAAATTAGAATATATATATATTGTAATCTTAGTTTGTCCTATTTTGCATATTCTCCTGTGAAATTAACCTATGGTATAGACTGTAAACAAACCAATCTAGTTAAAAAGATTTCCTCTAATAAGGGACTTTTATTTTCACATATTTTAAAAAAATATTAGAGAACTCCGCTCTGCAGTACAGATGCAAATGTTATATTTTATCATAGTGGTAAACTTAAGTGCATGAATATTTCATTACCCCAAGACAGTGGGTCTTTAAAAGATGTGGATGGTGACATAACCAACGACAATTTTAATAGTATGCCAAGTGAATGCAGGGAAATTATTTGAAGTCGATAAATAATACAAATAATATTTTCTATGTAGCTAATGTCCGGCATATTTAGTCAAGAAAATATATTTTTATGATCCATAGTGAATGTTACTTATGGACTTGTATAATACATATTTTTATCAAAACCCAGGCCCTCTCTGTCTCTCTCTTCATATATATAACAGAATATTAAAACATTGTTATGCCTGAATTGTTCCTCTTAGCAATAACCTCATTAGGGCGTTGGTCCTCTGCCAGCAGTGCATTACTGTAATTGTGTTCAAATCATGTCAGTGAGGGTATGATGTCAGAGGTAACTCTTTCTTTCATTTCGCAGCATTGCTGGCTGAGACTGGATTATCTTAAACATGAACCACGGAGGTAGCCATCCTCTCACTGCATTATCGTGTCACCCAATTACCATTTTTCCCTCACTGAAGAAAATGGCGTTAAACTAGTTCAGATAGAAATGATTTTCGATAGCTTTACACTCTGATTTACCAGGGTCAGGTGGAAAATACATGGGGACAATCTTTTACACAAAGCTTTTAAATCGTGTTGGCAATTAAGGGTTAATTAGCTTATAGGGATTCATAAGTATACTCCCTTGGGATAACGCTTGGCCGTTTTTCTTAAAAAAACAGTATAACATTATGGATACAAATCTGTATTCCAAACACCTGTCCCTTTTTACCCTGTAAATACCCTACTTACCTTATTTCACCGCCGATGCCCCTTGGCAGTGGGTCAAAGCTACGATGCCTCCTCCGCTGCACATGCATTAGACCTCCCCAGAATCAATGCTTTCCTACGGGGAAAAATCTGACGCTGGAGGTCCTCATGCAGAGTGTGAGGACACCCAGCGTCGGATAACAGCCCAAAAGTCTGCTATGATTCCGGATGCACCCCCAGTGGCTGTCTGAAAGTCGGCCACTGAGGGCAGACTTAGAGCTACAATGTTTAACACTGCAGAACTAGGTGCAAAAGGGACAGAGCATCCAGACTACTTTGATGAGCTGATCCAAACCATTTCAAGGAAGGTAATAAAAAACAAAATTTTAATTTAATATACATAAATTTGAGCTTTTAGAGTGGACTGACTTGCAAAGTCCTATTATTGGTGAAACAAGTCAGAATGTTTAGTCCTATGTAACATAGCACAGGGCCAGCAGAGAGACTGAATACAATTTTGCACTATTAAACCAAGGTCAACAAGTCAGATAAAACATGCAAAACAGAAAAAAGCACAAACAAATCATAAATGCAAATTGGGCAGGAGTCTGTCATCGTGGAGAACACCCAACCTCTGCTGCATTCTGACTAAACTATCGAGGGAGGGAGCTGGAATTATTGAAATCCGGGCTTACTTTCCATCTCCTTTTTTTAGTCCTTCCTGAGGTAAAAACTCTATCTCATCTACATCCACAGTCAGAATCCCGTGACACCAAATGATAACAGTTGACTCAAAGGGGGAGATTTATCAAAGTGTCACCGATTTTTTTTCCCCGTCTAATTTT